TCCTCATACGCATTCATCTTCCAACTTATACCTTAGACGTCACCCATTGTACGTTCTCCTTGATCATTTTTGACGATACCAAGCATCAAGAACATTCAGTACGGTTTACCCCTTTTTATAACCAGCCTAACGTTTCTCCCTATTAACATGAGCTAACACCCGCAGTTGCAGAATCACACCGTAACCCATTCACCAGCTTGTACCAGGAAACCCCTGATCTGAAAATTCGCCATCAGCAAAGACACAGTAGTCAAAAGTATCTGGAGTCCGTATACGAAAGGATCAATTTCTAAGGCACCGAAAAAAAAAGATAAATCAACAAGAGATTCACTCCCTCTCCGCCAAAATGCCTGAATCCGGATCTGACGCCCCTTCTAACGACACCGGCTCCAACAGCCCTGACACTGGCTCTGAGACCAGCAGCACCCGTGGAAGAAGCCGCAGCGGTTACAACTGAGCTAGCTTCTTGTGTCAGACTTGGAGTTAGGCATACCCGGATGGAGTTAGTGGTTCTATGGATTCCCTTTCCTTAGGTTTGGTTGGAAAAAGGATATTATATGTGCAATTTTGATTCGGATGGGCTATCAGGGGGCAAGGTTTCTGAACGACTGGCTTGCCTAGTCCGCCCACTTTCTGTACAACAGGGTATACACTTGGGCTTTCTGGTTTATTTCTTTTCTTCCGGCTCTAAGCTGCCTCCTTTACTCATAAACGACCTCTTTTTATCCTGGACGATGCTCTGCATGTGGGCATTTCACTCTTAGCTATAGACGAGGAGTCAGGTTTACTTATGAGATCCATCTGCGCAAGCAGCGATACACCAAAAATTCATGTAGTTTAGAATAGACATTTTCATCCTTCTGCCTTCATAAAAGGCTCACATAAAAAACAGAGTTCGCTTAACCTCGTGCACTCACGCTTCATACACTATGCCTAAGTAACACGAGTGACGATAGGAATCTTGAATGCGGGTAATCATCATTTCTGCCTGACAATATTGCTTGTGTTACTAGATATCAGCCTACCCATTTCTACATGGGCTCTGCCTTTCTCGAGATGGACAGATCGCAAAGAAAATGACTAATATATCTCGACCGTCCCAATGCGTTCCCTAGAGGCCACCGCCAGTGCCGTACCCCTGACTAAAATATGTAGGCTGATGGAACCATGGAACTGCTCTAGTGTCGTGATTCTTATGCTTGCCGCACGGGATGGGCCGCCCCCATCCACGATTACGCACACGGTCGTCAGCTTATTTCCGGATAGGTAAGATGCTACGGTATCCGAAGGGTTGGTTTCATGTATAAATACGCTTCTTATCTTATGTAATACAGTGCTGCCGTCAGAGTTTCATACGTCGCCTCATTCTCGCTAGGTTGGACTCGTGCTTATTGCGCTGTGCTATATCGAGACTCGGAGAGCCAATCCAAAAAGGTAACGAGGGGAAACAATAAATGAGGTCATTTAGATGCTTATTTCCGTATCCTACCCTCGATACCAATGGTTTCTTCTAGCGGGATACATGATTCTATCAATCGCGACCTTATAAAAGGCCAATATCATCCTACCTGACACCAAGGTCATACTACAAATCTTGAATTAGAAGATACTACTTTACTAACAGAGAAACAGCCCTAAGAGATGTAGGATTCAGGGCGTCTCTTCGCCCTGCCGTTATATCAAGAAAAACCCGTTCCACTAGAGCCGGGGAGCCCGGTTATGCACGGTTCATCACCTGCGCCTCCTGACCCATATGTAGATATACAGGTAATTCTTTGGAATAAACTCGGCGAGCGGCGAGCCGTAGACGACGAAGATCATACACCGATATACCTATGTAGGTAGGTAGGTAAGAGGTAGGTAGCCATACAAAGGACCCACAGCCGTATTCGTAGATATCCCTGATCTATTTCTTAGGTGTTATTGATATGTCAGACATACCAAAGTACCAATTACCCACACAGATCTACTACTTCCCAGATGGTCGAATGAAGTAAGCAAGACAAAGACAGGATTAAAACTAGACTAGTGTACCTAGGTAGCCCAACCGTCCAGTTGGAGGCTACGATACTAATATAAAGAGCGTTATTTCGATATCCCGTTCTAAAGAGCCCTAAGACGAATACAATAATATATGTTCATAGACTACATACATTAGGAAACCCACTTATCCAGCATTACATTTTACATGTGAATCAGTCCCGTTCTAGTAACGTGTGAAGTAGACCCTTGCACATATTACCATACGATATGTACCCGCCCGCAGTACATTTAACTGCCGGCATTGGAAATTCTATTTCTATATAAGGATCAGACGTCACATGGTTGCCGTTTATTTGCTCAAGCAAAAGAACCTCCGCCTAATCTTCGACAAGGACTAAATGCTTTACCGAACCCTTATCTCTGTATACCGACTGCCTATGTATTTCAACTATTTTAGTATTTTCTATTTTATCAGCAACGTGCTCAGTACCTATGTATATTGAAGACCCTATGTTTTCTATAATTAGAGTCTGAAACTACCAAGGGTGTGGTAGTTGTAACGCGGGTCCAACTGATCGGGAATCTTCACGACCCAACTGAGTGTTTTGTTCCACTTTAAGTTTTGAACACCTTTCTCTTTTGCCCCTGTTTTTCTTTACTCAAAAAAGTTGCCCCTTTCCTACTTCCAATTGAGAAACAATTATCTTCATCTCAGTGGCATATCACGCCATAACAAGATAGACATGTGAATTGTTACTATATAATTAATACTTTAAAGTCTACTCGACATTCCTCAGTTCTTATTAAGAAATCAATATTAGTAATCATCGTGCACAGTAATGAGCAACGTCTCAAGATCATGCTATATAAAATACCTTCTCTTTTAAGACTATATCCATTTGATGACCCTTTCATACTCTTCTATGCTACTAGAATAATTCGCGATTATTCTACGCCGCTGGCCTACTTGCATATTCAACCTGCACTAGTAGCATTGTGTCGTAACGTCCCGTCCCGCCCTCTCCGTAAAGGATGCAAGCCATTAGCCTTGCTCCCACGCCACATCCGTAAGACTTTACCTGACCAAGCTCCAACAAGCAGGTACTTTATTTTAGCAATAACTACCAAGAGACCATAAAGCAGAGGACAAGAACTCTAAAGGAAAGGAATATGTTATATCAACCCTTATGGTATACCAGGCCCCTCCACTTTTGTTAAATTCCAAATGAAAGCTAACGCCTCACATTCTGATTTCTTGGTCATAAATCGCCTTCCGATATGTTTTGCTGGGGTCAGGCACGTAAATATAAAAAATCTGTTACACTTTGGGCTATGTCATAACCAACTGCTTTGGACTCTGTTCAGCAAAAACCACTCGCCTACTCCTGGTTCTTCATAGCTTACCATGAACAGATGGTCATCACAAATGTGGCTATAGAGAGAATTTGCCCTTAAAAAATAACATAGACGACTCTAATTTTAAATGCCCAAACAGACTCCGTATTTGAGGGGAAGATGTTCACGTTTTTAGAAAGGAGTAGTAGCACAACAGGCTTAATTGCCAAAGCCATAGAAAAGGATCATGATTAAGCATGATGTAAGATGTTAATAATAGTATTATAATATATTAACATATTATTTATGAAATAAACCTTAGTACCTTAATTAATGTTTACATCATCCAACCTCAAAAATAATCTGCCGTAAAAATAGTTACGTCAAGTGTAACCACGTCAAATTTGCGCCACCGTAGAAAAGCAAAACAAAATAATACATCAGGTACCTATTTAGTCCGTAAAAGGGTTAATGCCTATAGGTAGAGAGGTCTTTTTTGTTATTTGAAATAAAATGCTTTTGTTTTTACTTGCTGTTATTGCGGTTGTTCTACTTAATGCCACATCATTGTGAAACGAGACTCTTCAGATAACTACAGATAGAGTCAGAATCAACTCTAAGCATTATATTTTGCAGATGCCTGAACTTACTTTTCTCTCTCTCCATCTTGTGTTGTCATCTAAGGCTGACCTTCAGTCTATATGCTTAGCTTTCTCCTCCTCTTCTTTTTTCCTTCACAAATGATCACATCGAAAGGCTGGGAGATTTTAACATTTTGACATTTTGCAGACCCCGGTTTAACTTCTTTTAACACCTTACACTTCTGCATTACACCTCCACTCTTCTTACCTTACATTAGGTATGATATGATGAAAAAGGTCGGAGCTACCAGAACTCCGATAGCTAAGGTTGCATAGATACCTGGTTATAGTTTCAACACCTCATATCCCTAGTTGTCTTTGGTCATTTTACAGTTCCTAACCTATTTTACCAACTGTAACCAAAGTCGGGATTCTCGGCCGTGATCACCGGAAATCGGGACATCGGCAGAGAGATAGCTTGACTTCCGGATGCCGACTCCAGAGACAGTCACGTTCCGGGGACAATTTAGGTACTCTTTAGTCCACTAGCTAACCCTTATTTGTCATCCTAGGCTCCGACTCTATTTCATCAGGTACCTACACCAACCCAGACCTTGCACAGTCCACCCAACCAAACAGAGCGATTCACAATCAATCTCTCAAAACATTCTGTCATTATTTTGCACCTCATTTCCCTTCTACTTCTTTGCACCCCATCAACAAGAACACTCCGTGAACAAGATACGCAAAGGGTGACGTCAATAATATGAACCTATTATTATCATTACCTCTCAGGCTTCCTAATGAAGCAGAAGAAATTCACAGTTACCAGAAGTCTGATAATTTTGTATTGAACATTTTCATCGCCAATACGAACACTGTTTCTGAGGAACAGTATCTTATATGTACTTAGAGCGAACTGCCATATCTTCAGTTCTGCTCTAGTCGTTTGTCTTCGTACGTATTCCTGTCATGGCTTTCTTTCCTCCAGCCTTTCTATACTGCGAATCGTCCTCCCCCCCCCCCTTTTTTTTTAACCCACACCAACCTCGAAAAAGAAAGTTCTGGCTCATGATCTATCAACATACCATCAAAATACTTTCTTTTTCTTTTTCTTTTTCTTCTTGTTTGCTGTCCTCGCCATATACTGACCTGTTGTATATATACTGATGGTGCTATCTGGCCCGCAGTGCACTCTACACGCAAGGGGGGGAGGGGAGGTGGATTGGTGAAGCTGCATCTTCCATCCTTGTTTTAATATCTTCTTACTCGCCCCTTCCTCACTTCTTACCAATATCGTTATTACTTCAACAGCTTTGGCACAACTGGATCCATAAATCGCCCCTGCCTAACAATCCACCCCCAGTCTAACTCTAAATACCAATCGTTCTTTCGTACTTTATATGTACGTTCATTCCTAGGACACAACAGACCGGCCCGACTTGCTAGAAATACATTGGGTACAAACTCTTCGGTCCTTCCTTACTACAGGACCGACATCTTACATCATCAATACTTTACCTACATCATCAACACCACTTTATATCATCAATCTCTCTACACTAATACCACTGTCTAACTAAAACTTCAGCAGCACTGCCTACAATGTCCGTACCGGTACCCGTCCGCGACAAAAGTCAGACCCCAGTCTCCGTGACCGGAGGGAGTCCGATGGAGGAGACTTTGACAAACATAGATATCGGCGACAGCAAAGAACTTCTACAGAAACTGCGGCGACATATCAGCTGGATTACCGAGTGGGTAGCAAAAAATAAACCCTTGTGCAACTCCAACAACGAAGATGAGTCTACAGGGGAGGTTAGTGGGAAAACTGAGCTAGATGGAGGGCACTCAATCCAGCCTCCCATCCCGGCCAAAACCGAATGGCATACTTCATCATCCTATGATTACCGGGGTACCAACGAGAGGGGGGAGATTCTGAGTCACGACACGGCCGATGAAGCAAAAGATAATTTAGGTGACGAGGCTAAAGAACCAAACACCGCCCCGCATCGCCTGGTGGACGCCCACGAAGCAGCAGCCAAATCTCTCGGGTATGGAAGGATCCCTTACGAGTACCTGGTAAATCCCGAGGGGTATAGGAACCAGTACTTCGAAGTCAAGAAGTCGCGACTTGGAGGGTATGGGGCCTTCGCAAAGACGGATCTGAGGCAAGGCCAGTTGATTCTTGCAGAGCGACCAATACTTACGGCAAGCCCTGTGACTTTATACCAGGATCTAGAGTTACTAGCGCCCGAACTTCGAGCTGCGTTCTATCGAATGCATGGGCATAAGAGATCTCCTGATCATGACAAGCGACAGGCAATCTTCCTAACTAACGCGTATGTTTATCTATATTATATTATAGCTAATCAAAGATCAATGCGCTAATCATAACTAATAGCTTTGCGGTTCATGAATCATCCTTATTCTACTTCATTGCTGCACGATTCAATCACGCATGTGGCCAGGTCAGTTCTGTCAAGTACCGTATTGCCCGGAATAATATCATAGAGCTCCGAATGGGGAAGGACGTGCCTGCTAGCACCGAGCTGACCATCTCGTACGGACCGATGTCGCCGAGCAGCCTGTATACACTATGGGGATTCCGCTGTGCTTGCGGTGGTTGCAGGCCCCTTACGGACGCCGAAGTCAAAAGATTAGACAGGAGGGATGATGATGCATATGGCATCTGGTAGGGTACCGATAAGAGACGGTTAGACATTAGACGTGGTCTAATTTGGGTGCGTAGATACATGGGGTCCCTTTTAGATCGGTGGCTTTTAGCGACTGGTTTTGTTCTAACAAAGAATAACTCTGATTCTTTTTTTCTTTTTCTTTTTCTTTTTTTTTTAAAGTGTACCCCGATTCAGGGGACTCCAGACTTTACTAAAAGCTGTTTTGAAGAGGTGGTGAAAGGTAGACAGTCCACTTCATAAGATATAAAACAACCTAGTAATATATTGCGTTGACTTCACAGGATTCCTCTTTTCTTGTTTATCCTTTTATTGTACCATTATTTATAAGAAGTGATAACTTCATTTTCCACCTGAACACAATACTAATAAAGGCAGGTACATGCTCGTCTTATTGCTTTCTGGATTCCATTCATTATATTGATCTGTTGATAGGACAATGTATGTAAGTAGGTACATATGTAAGTTGGGTAATGTTATATATGAATCACGTGGCGTCGCGTTTAGTATATGTAATTGGGGGGGCATGAATACAAACCTGATGTAGATATGTTTCTATCTCATGGATGTTAGGTACTCTCAGTCTGTACAAAGTCTGTACACAGTGGTTAGGTACTTTATCTATCCTAAGGTTAGGCAGGCAACCGCCAACTAGCTAATCTGATAAGTGACAAGGCAACTACCAAACGCTATGATAAAACTCTGGACTTAACTAATGCAACCTTCTTTTTTTCCTTCTACTAAAAACATGTCGTGTAACGAATGTGGGCAACTAAACCATTGCACGGTCCTCTAGTTTTCTCAAAGATGATATTGCAAGCATCTAGTAACAAGCTCGCTAAGTCCCGTTTTATGTTGTCCTAGAAACTCTCTCTCTTAGTAATACCCTTCGATCATTATACGGTATGCCCGGCAACGGATATCCATTTATATATGTAGTTGCTACCTGGTACCCAACTACTTACGACCGTTCTCTACTACTACTACTACTACACCGTTACCCGCCTGAGACATCTGCCCAATTTGTATTTCCTGAGTTCCCTTCACATTCATCACCTCCATCATTTTGCCTGGTTAGGATCAGGATATCCTCTTAACGACGACACCACTATACCCCCTTTACTCCCTCATTTACTATAATAAGTATCTACATTGTCAATTCTACCTTGATACTGTAATAAGGGACATCTCCACCCTATAATTCGGCTTTGAGTCTTGGCTATTTATCCAAGATGCCTCGCTTTCCGATTTTCGACTGCTATGCTACCCTCGAGGTAGCACGCACTGCAGCTGAGCAGGAGATCACTGCCGCCTACCGTCGCTTAGCTCTTATTCACCACCCAGATAAGAACCCCAGTAACGCTGAAGCCGCCACAGCAACCTTTCAGAAAGTACGTTCTAGTTTCTATCATTCAAGGCATAGTACCAAAACTAAACTAATATCTAACAGATCCAAATTGCATACGAGATTCTTCATGACCCATCTAATCGTTCTCATTATGACCTTCACATAGCTTCTCAGAACGCCACTACACCTTCCCGGCCCGAACCAACAGCGCGATCGAATTCTCCGGATTGGGTTGATCTTGATGACGATGATGATGATTGGATATACAACAATATATTCCCTTACATCTTCCGCTACATTTTTGGAGACGGGGTTCGACAACCATATTATCCGGGATTTTTTGACAGAGATAATGTCTTCAGTCAGTTTCAGCGGGAGAGGCGAGAGCAACGTGAAAGGGTCAACGAGGAGACTCGTATGCGAAGAATGGCTGAGGAAGCACGCAAAAAAGCTCGAGAAGACGAGAAAAAATCCCAAGAAGAGATGAAAGCCAAGCAAAAAGAAGACGAACGAACTACCGAAAAATCCAACCAAGAAATGCGTTGGAAAAAGCTCAACGCCATCACCAAGGATGAGAAGGCACAAGCTTGTCTCCACTCTGGGTTCTGCAGCAAGATCCAGCAGTCCAAGAAGTTCAAATGCGGCGCTTGTCATGTGAAACGAGGCATTATAGCTTTCGAGTGTCCGTATTGTTTGTTGCACATCTGCCAGCAGTGCGTGTCTGACTTTGCCAAGAAGCGCTCCTTGGCCTTGATGCAGGATAGCTCTAAGCCTCAAGTCGATCCTAAGTCAACGGCTAAGCCAGAGCCAGAGACTAAATTCGGGCCCGGGGCCGAATCATCAACTCAAGCGAAGGGCGGACGTCACAACAAGGGACCCAACGCTCAATTTAAGGGTGGCAAAGGCCACAAAAAGAACGGGTACCAGAAGAAATAACAGAGCCCAACCTCGTGACTTTTACTACAGCGAAGCATATTATGTTGCTTCCAAGTGTCCCAACAACTCTAACCGCCAGGGTAATCGGCGCACCTGAGTAAAGGAGATGAGAGTGGTACAAAGCAATCGTCATTTAATAAAGAGACCGCTGAGACTGTGATGTTATGATTCAGGATTCATTACGAGCTAAGGTACAGGTTTTAACGGAAACTGGTAGGATCTGGCGTTTGAGTTCCATACCAGAGGATTAACTACACCCTGGAGGAGGTTTTATTGTGGATTGGCGAGATACTCAGGGATGTTTGTAGTAATCAATGTTTTTCTTTAGCAATATGTTCGGCCATGTTTTCTCCTTTTTACATGTGTCTACGTGATTGGTCCATTATGTGCTATGAAGTCTCTCCAGGTGTATGCGATATTGTAAATCACTATTGGCAGTTGATCTGATTGTTAGCAAGACTAGGTAGTTTTTGTTTTAGGAGTTCATGTTCGTCTAAGTCGTTGTAAAATAAGGCGACATTCTCATCATGTCAGCTACGGAGATGCTGTGGGACTTTGCTGCTCAATAATGTAAATGGAGTAGACGTAATAATAAAGCCAAGCTTTCTATGCCCTCGCTGTCAAGGCCTGTGAGATTAGTGTGACCTAGGCGTTGACAAATTATCTGCGAAAAGAATTTACATTATTTTGGATTTAAACCGTCACCCATCTATATCTAACTATATCGCAAACCCCGACCAAATAACCCAAGTCACAAATCCCCAACCTCCGCTCCGCACCGGCTTCCCGCCTCGGGAGCGAACCGGGGCGCTGATGCCTTACGTACATATATCCGAGACGCGCCACCTCTCTGTTCTGCCAGCTTCTGTCATGTAAACTCGCTCGTATAGGTAGGTAGGTAGGTGGGTAGGTAAGCACGGCTGGAGACAGCACACATGACGGGCGCTCTAAGCGCCTCGGATGTCTCGCGGGGCAGTCGTACGGCGTCAGCAGCCACCACTTGTTAACTCGTCGGTTTACGCACCCGGAAATGCAAGGGGGAATTTATGCCTCGGGTGCTGGAAGTAAGGGCGGAGGAGAGAGGGGGGGGGGGATGGGACCCTTTTTTTTTCTCCGGCCGGTTGACTGGGTTATTGTATGGTTCCAGCCCCTCGGGTTAGGTGCTGTGAGTTTGATAGGATATAGCTAGGTACCAGGTATGTAGATACCTCTTAGTATGTGCGTAAGAGAGGATAGCCTCAGGGTCCTAGGGGTAGCTTGACCGATTCGCACGTGATTTCTATTCACTTCGAAGCATGAGCTCAGGTTGTTGGTATAATAGGTACCTATATTTACATGAACACAATACAAGCTCTGATAACCCAATATGGTTTAGGGAAGATAGCGAGATACAAATTCTGCGCACAATCAAGACTGGTCTTTTATTTCAAGGGTTTATATATCAATTTGAGAATCTGCCTCGGCCGGGTATCGATCGGAAGCGGACAAATCCCTGTCATCACATCGCCCGCCCCTTTCAGGGTCACGTTGAACTGACGCGAAGGAGCCTACATGAAAGCTCTACCTCTGGTTGCCACCGAAAAAAATGCAAGACGTGATCAGACCCGTAATAATGCTATTCATGACCGAATGTCCAGCTATCCGCTTTGCTTTCTACTTCCTCCTCTTTTTGCTTCAGCCTCCTACTATGTCTGCTAGCAGACTCAGCTCTCCCCTTCTCCTCTCCTCGCGCGCGTGTGAAGCACACGAGGCACCATCAGTAACAGTAAAAAAGAATATTAACAAAAGAAACAGAACAAATAATGTGTATCGCTTTATGACGGCGGTAGCGACGTCACTCAACTCTACCCGAGCAAAGGCGTAGCATCTGAAGACCTCCTCTTTTCATGTACCAATATTTTATAACACCTATGTGCTAACCCGGGATCTCGTCCAGCCCATTTGCGTTCTCGCTGTATCTCGAAATGGCAAGCTCCTCTTATAGAATAGGTTTGCATTTATGTAGCTGATCAACTTTGGGTCCGCCCACCGAAGGATTGAAGAAAGGAGGCAGAAGAGAGGGGCGGCGCGAGCTCACGCAGCCTAACTCGGTATATAAGATTAAACTGTACATATACACCAAAAAATTCGAAGTTATTGTCACCAAACGCCCGCCGCTATGATGGCTACCCTAGGTATTGTTCGGTTCGTTTGCGGTTCTCATAGAATAGAAATTAACTGAAGCTTAAAGAGTGACATCGAGAACTAGGCTGACGTCTTGAACATTAGATCCGGCTAGGTCCTCGAGAACGGGTATCAAGTCTAATAATTCATTGTCGTGAGCGTCCGAGAACCAACTGCTGATAGGCACAGCGTGTTGAGGATGGAAGATGTACGAGGTAGGCGAGTTGTCAATGATAATAGTATCCTTGAGGTCCCTACCGACCTGGGAAAGATCCTTGACGTAGTTGCCTTGGTGGTTATAACAGCTCTCCCGGAACAGTCGGTGGTGGACAACCTTGTGGATGTCAAGCTGATCTAGCAATGGGTCGCCGTACTATTTAACCTAATTAGAAAGATGAGACAGTAGTAGTAATAGTATATGTAACGTACCTTAGAGACAGAGGCTGTGAACACTACGACTTCGTATAGCTCGCCCACGCGCTTCATGAACTGATCTACACCCGGTCGCTTGATGACATACACGTTATGATAATTGCCCTCAATTTCAACTGGTATCGTGAAATCAGCTTGATGTAGTATCTACGACAGTTAGCTTGTTGACCACCTTTAGACGAGTATTTCCACGACATACCTTGAAAGAGCTGTGCACCAAAGTCTCGTCCAGGTCCAATACCAGGCACTTTCTGCCCTTGAAACGGGGTTCGATAGGTGGTAGAAGATATTTTTGTTGACCTTGCTCTAGATCCACGGATTTCTCTTCTGGCGCAACGGGGGCGGGATTGGCAACAGGGACCGGTCCGGGAGGTGGCGGCGGAACTGACTTCGCATATTGAGACTCGTCGTCCGTACCAGGTTGCTTAGCTGGTTCAGCTACAGCTAGTTCCGTATCTGCCATCTCAACATCGCCGTCAACGTCCCTGGTGGATGGCCCTTCGACAGCATCCGCCTCCGCTTCATGATCTTCTGCAACCGGAGGGTTAACCGTGATGCTGGGACCCGGTACACCGACCAGGGTAGTCTGTTTCGACTCGCTCTCGCGTTCGCCGACCGTGGACTGGTCCTGAGTCGTTGACCCCGAGACTCGCTTTGCGGATTTAGATGCGTCTTGAGCAGCGGTGCTTGCTTGAGGCGGCGTCTCCTTCTCCTTCTCGTAGACTTGAGTCTTGCTACCACCCGTCTGCTCCGAAGGCGTTGTAGTTCGTCGGCTAGATGTCAGCGGTCTTTGAGGGAGCTTGTCGAGTTTGTGAGAAGGAAGTGGATCTTCACCACCTTCGAGGGTACTGGCGTGGTTAGGAACAACACAGCATCCAAGAAGAGCCAGTAACCCGCCCTTTTTTCGCCGCTGCGGAGCACCAGCCGGGGAGTTTGGAAGCAACGTGCTTGGTGTAGTCGTAGGATTCGTGGCAGCCCCAGAGTGATTGCTGGACGCACTACCGTTCCGACGCCGGCCAAGCATACTGTGTTTTGATTCCTTAGAATTGCCACCAATACTATCTCGCGGATCGTCAGCAGTCGTCCCGCTGAGACCCGTTGTTGCTGACGATGACTGTATCTTTTGCGATGAAGATCTCGACGGTACGTTTAGGAGGCCGCGTCCTTTTCTTGAAGCTAATCCGTCCTCGGCCGTAACAGATTCCTTTTCCCTCGAGTTTTCGTGCTCCGCCAGTGCTTTCTCATCAGCACCTCTGGACATATTTCCCAATTAAAAGTTGATGCTTGCTAGCTATAGGAGACGACAAGCTATCGCACTGTAAAGGTAATATTAGCTATAGACACATGCCAAAAATTGGAGGCTTATTCTGCTTTAAATAAGGCAGATTAACTGGCGCATAAAATCGCGTCGATCAATTGAAAACGAACGGCGCTTCTAGGAGGTAGAGGGACTCGGATAGAAATAGTCCCACACGAGGCGTGGAAAAGCTTATCAATTGTTGCTCACCTCGATACTCAACGGCCGTTCACCTTAAATAGCTGCCCAAACCCCTAATGCAGCAATTGGTTGGCGTTGAACGGCCGAGTAGCTAATATGGCCGTGTCGGCGACTGCAACCAGAAGAGAGACTGGCTGATGCGGCTGAATCGGGAGTGCAGATGGAGATTCTAAAAGCCACGAGAGAAGCGAAGGAAATAAAAGGCGATGCGATGGAGATGTCGAAAAGAACGTCGCGTCGTGACAAGAAACCCTGCTGAGATTGAGATAATTCGGGGGGATGAAGTGGGTCAGTCGCTTGGGACTTGCGAAGGAGGAAACAGATTGAGCCTGGTTGTAGACAGATGACGAGCCTCGAGGTACCTTTGGGGGGCGTTGGGGCGGCGGGTATCTGAACAAATAACTCCAAATCCTAGCTGTAAGAAGAAAAATAAATAAAGTAATGGCACAAAAAGCCCAAAGATGTCCCGTCGAAGAACCTAAGTGAAAGGGAGAATGAAATGGATTGAACAAGTACAACGCTGGAAATGATACCTAAGGTAAGGTAATAGAGGGTGTGGTAAGCTTAAGGCTTAAGCTTAAGGTACATACATACGTACAAACAGAGAGCTGGCTGTAAAAAAGAAATGAAGACTATCTCTTCCACTGCTCTGCGGGATTGTTGCGCGGAGGCTGAAGAAGTCTGGAATCGCAAGCGAAATGATTTCCACAAAGAAACTGAACCACATTTGGGGAGGGGGGGGGGCAGGGGAGGGCACGGAGCAATTTGAACAGGGGGAAAGCCGCTAGCGTGCTTGCCTTACCTGCTTAAATCACTTAAAATCACTTAAAATCACTTGAAATCACTTGAAATCACTTGAAATCACTTGAAATCACTAAGAAAAAGGGCGTGACAGGGGTAGTTTACATAGAGGCATCTGCTCAGTTGATTGCTACCTACCTACATGTACTAGCTTGTATGTACTATGTAGCCCAGTGGCGGCTGGGCTAGTCTGGTTGGTTGGTGTCCAGTAGGATTGCTTATTACCTAGGTACATACTGAGGTTAGGTATCTAGGTACAATGTACGGAATAATGAAGGTACATATGTACACTACACTATGAGGTAGGTACATGTAGGTAGGTATCTACCTAGGTACTCCGTTTGATTATCACCCACTGTCACCGAAACATAATTAGGGTAGGGACTTGAGAGGGAACATGTGTATATTAAAATCTGTTAGGAAAGATATGAGAGTTCCCCATACCTCCGAAACAGAATCCATCCCGCTTTGGTACTGTATCAATTACCTATCAAAATGTTCCCATCCACCTTCCCAGCTTCCCTAGCTTCCCCCCTATCTATCTACGGTATTATTATCATTTGTACTAAAGAATCCACCAGAGAATAAAGCTCATTCAGTGGTGTGTAATTTCGCTGACCTCCAGGTTACCTTAGGTACCTAGGTAGGTATTGTATATATGGACTAATAATCACCTGCAATTGCATTTCAAGACTATTGGATGTAAAAAATTTGGTGGCTTTATTAAGTGTCCAGTACCTAATTGTGTATCAGTACATCCATTGTCGTCTTTGCGCCTTTATGAGGACAATAGTGCAATATAGATAAATGACTGACGAGTTATCATATTTGCCTAGCACCTAGCTTACAGGTTCGGTACCCTTGACCTGCTAAGTTGGGAGTTATCTGCATTTCAATCCGCATTTCATATTGCGAGTCTATCTCTACCTCTATCCTAGGTCGTCCTCGACCTTGACGAGATTGACGAGATGTCAGACAGATGAACCGTTTCAACATTGAAAAAAGTAACTACCTGTTAGACATGCACGCTGTCTTGAAGCGCCATCGAGCCGGATGGACCATATAAAACCTTGAGATCCTTGAGATGCTTGGGGATCCATCTGTTTGCATGACTTTTTTATCGCCCGTCACATCCATGCGGCGTATAACAGAAGGGTTTCCGTTACTACTTCAGTCGTACCTACTATGCGTAAGGCGGCAAGGAAGGCAGGAAGCTAGGGTAGCTACATGAACATTTGAACCAAAATTAAGAGTGTCGTGGAGAACGAGCCATGCAAGTCTCCGAGGCCCGGTTTTGATTGGTTCCGTTGGCGCCCGTTGAGAAGTGACGGTTGAGAAATGGGGCCAAACTATTTGTTCACTTACCTTTTTAAGACACAAGCTACAGCCAACCGACATTCGATCATTTACACAAGTACGGATCCGTATAAATGATATAATGCACAGGAGATTCATAATACATACCATTAAGATAGGTATGTTCCAAAGCCAGCCTCTAGTGTATCGTACCAAGCAAACAAACAGTTGCAGCGTAAGATTGACCGGGTATTTTTTTTTTATATCTCAAGCGATCCAGCCAGTTGGGTATTACTTTCGTATAATATCCACCAATCACCTCTCCCGGAGTCGAATCATAGATATTTTGATATCTTATTGGATTAGTTATGTAAGTACGGTCCAAATGATATTTTTGATACAGCCGCTTTTAATATCAAGCTCCTATCTAAAAATCTTGAAGCGAGTGGGAAAAAGAAAAGAAAAGAAAAGAAAAAAACAAATGCCCCAATTTCTTTCCCCGGACTTCCATCCAACCATCTAACCTGCAAACAAGCCACAGCCTCGTGCAGGTCCACAAGCTGCAGGTAAATCGTGGGGGAAGGTGGCTCATACCTGGGGCTTCGGCCACGTGATAGCTTACCTTTCAGCCAATAGCCGCAAAGATGTCGCTGACGGTTTCCGAACTCAGAGGATCAACCTCGGATCATCACATGCCTCAGCTTTGGTCGCTTTCAATCGTCACCAATGACGGAGTTACAAGCTATCCTAGCCCTTCTCCTCTATCTCAACCACCTCTCAGCGACATGTCGGTAGCATTTACTGCTATACCAAAAATTCAAACGATTTTATTATTGCTCTATTCCTCTCGCTCTGTGTAGAAGTCCCTTAGATCCCATCGCTGTACGGAATAGATGGCACTCGGAATAGACTAATTACAGGCCAGTCCTTATTGATGTCATGTCACGATGGCGGTGCAATCCACGCTTCGCCATTCGGCATCCGAAGACATACTCGTAGCCTTTCTCGACAAGTATAGCAAACTAATCCGAGACCGCCTACGAAAGACCTCCCGACGTTCCAAGCTTTTTGCAGCCCTCCTACTCGCCGCGTCGATAATACTCAGCGCTGATGGTGGCCGGAGATGGTGGAACCGGAGAAGGCAGGAGAAAGAGCAAGGTCGGAAACTTGTGCGCACGAATTCGTGGTTATTCAATAAAGATGGCTCGCGAACGATATACGTTCCGTATAAGGATGGAACGTCCAAAGTAGTTATTAATCGGACAAAACCTTTGACCTTCGAAGCGCATCGTCGGCTCTTCCTAAACCCGCCCAAGGTTTCGGGACTTGGCGATGGAACCGTTCCTTCGGCTCAGACCAAGCCAGGCCTAAACCTTGCGTTCCTACATCAGTTTCTCAGCCTGATGAGCATCATGATACCGCGATGGACTAGCAAAGAGGCCGGGTTATTGGTCAGCCATGGCGCGTTTCTGATGCTTCGCACCTATCTTTCGTTAGTAGTTGCGCGCCTAGATGGTGAGATTGTTCGCGACTTGGTCGCAGGTAACGGAAGGGTATTCCTCTGGGGTATAGCAAAGGTATGCTACGATTCTACACCAAACTCGGTTATGAATGTGTTACTAACTAAACCAAGTGGTGCGGACTTGGTGGTTTTGCCTCATATACCAATTCTATGATCAAATTCCTCGAGTCTAAAGTATCTATCGCATTCCGAACTCGGTTAACAAGATATATCCACGACTTATATCTCAATGACAATCTTAACTACTACAAGCTATCCAACTTGGACGGCGGCGTCGGACAGGGAGCCGACCAATTCATTACACAAGATCTAACCCTGTTTTGTGCTTCAGCTGCCAATTTATATTCCTCACTTGGGAAACCATTTATCGATCTCTGTGTTTTCAACTATCAACTATACCGCTCACTGGGTCCACTCGCGTTAACGGGTCTTATGAGCAACTACTTCCTGACAGCAAGTATTCTGCGAAAGGTATCACCTCCTTTTGGGAAGCTCAAGGCAGTTGAAGGACGTAAAGAGGGTGACTTTAGAAGCCTTCATGCCCGTTTGATTGCAAATGCCGAAGAAGTCGCTTTCTATGGTGGTGCTGAAATGGAAAAGTCTTTCTTAAACAAGGAATTCAAATCCCTCAAGAGTTGGATGGAAGGAATCTACCTGCTTAAGATCCGTTATAATATCCTCGAAGATTTTATCTTGAAATACAGCTGGAGTGCTTACGGTTATCTCTTGTCATCTTTACCAGTCTTCCTCCCAGCTTGGGGCGGCTTAGGAGGCGCAATGGAGATGATTGACAGCGCCGAAAAAGGTGGCCGAGAGCGCAATCGTATGAAGGACTTCATCACGAACAAGCGACTTATGCTCTCGCTCGCGGATGCGGGTGGACGCATGATGTATTCAATCAAGGACCTTTCCGAACTGGCCGGCTATACTAGTCGCGTTTATACCCTAATTTCGACGCTACACCGCGTGCATGCCGATGCATACGTCCCGCGACCAAGCGGCAACGAACTATACTCGCTTTCCGACGTCCAGGGTACCATCCAGAAGGGCTTCGACGGCGTACGATTTGAGCATGTACCTATCGTTGCGCCTGGGCTATGGCCTCAAGGTGGCGAGGAATTACTAGAGTCACTATCCATGATTATCCGTCGAGGAGAACACTTATTAATATCCGGTCCGAATGGTGTTGGCAAGAGTGCCATTGCTAGGGTCCTTGCTGGACTTTGGCCAGTCTACCGTGGTTTAGTGAGTCAACCCAAGTCTATTGGTCAGGATGGAATTATGTTCTTGCCTCAGAGGCCGTACCTGAGCGTGGGCACCTTGCGTGATCAGGTCATCTATCCAGATGGTGAACTAGACATGCGCCTCAAGCGTAAATCAGAGGATGAACTGAAGCGAGTGTTGGATGCTGCCAAGCTTGGCTACTTACCTGATCGAGAGGGCGGCTGGGATACTCGGAAGGAATGGAAGGATGTCCTGAGTGGCGGCGAAAAGCAAAGAGTCGGCATTGCCCGGTTACTATACCACGAACCCCAATATGCAGTAATCGATGAGGGCACCAGTGCTGTATCAAGCGACGTCGAGGGTCTATTATACGAAACATGCAAGGAAAGGGGTATCAGTAAGTCACGTGACACATATCTATTCTACTCATAACTAACAAATCGCAGCTTTAATTACTATCTCGACGCGTGCTTCTTTGAAGAAATATCACACCTTTAACCTCATGCTTGGGTTGGGTGAGACCGGCGACAAATGGGAGTTTGAGCGGATTGGAACAGAAAGGGAAAAGATGCAGGTAGAACGGGAACTGCAAGAGCTTCGAGAAAGACTGTCTCAAGTTGAGCAGTGGAAGCAACGGCATGAGGAGATCGAGAAAGAACTCGCACAAGTATGGGTTGAGGGCGATGCCTCCTTGGATCCGCCACCGTATGTGGAAAATACTATTGAGCCCGAACCAGAGAAGGGTGAGGCCTAATGATGTGTGTTGGATTGAAGTTCTAGATAACACAGGTCATATAAACAGGGACGTCAAGATGCTGGCTGGCGTTGATCTTGAGAAAATCAAAGTAGAATAAAAGATGGCGGTTCATTCGGTCATATGAAAGGCCCCCTCTATATTATTGTGCCAGATCACAAAGCGTAAAAAGTTGATTACTCCGAGTGAAGCTCTTGTATCATAAGTCAATGGGGTAGGGCCGGAGGGTCAAAGCCCCTGATGACTGGCCTATGAGGTCTCCCAGGATATTTCCGATGAATTTTAGTTTTATATAGACTCACTGTATGCACGGTGTAGATACGATATATTATATGTACTATTAAGCACGCCAGCTACTCATACCTATATCTTGGTTCACGTCTAGCCTTGTTTATGCCTGTCCGTGAACTTACTTTCAGGCATACGTCTCTTGAATCGAAGCGAAATTTAAACTAGAAGGTGATTGAGGATTAGGTGGAAGTTATCTGTAAATATATATCTAAATATATACCTACCTATCTACGCAAATTATTTTCTGTGTTGATCTATTCATCGGTTACGGCACTTAGCTAGCTGTGTAGTCGGTGTAGTCTTTGGATCTCACTGCGTCCACTGCCTAAGCTACTTCGACAACCCTATCTCGGGCGTAGGTAGTTGAGCTTTCCTAGCACCCAAGTTACATGGTTACCTGTTTATCCTGCCAGTTGCTGGACCGGTATGCCCGTGACTTGACAGTACGACATTTACAAAGTAGTTTTTCGTAGGTCCTGTGTTCAACACACAGGCCGAGCTTTTTTTTGCAATTCTTTTTTCTTTTATTTCTGATTCTTACGTACATTATTTTCATTTGTCTTTTGTCTCCTTCGAGTTTCTCTCTCTCTTTTTTTTTTTACTTCAACTCCTTTATTTTTTACATATGAAATTTATGCGAAGATATAGATAGATACAAAACAACCTACATCACCAGTCAACGCAAATTCATTTTTAGCACACGGGTTTGTTTTCCTTGTATATCTTATTTGAATGTAGTATTTGCAATTGACAGAAACGTAGGAGACGATATTTTAATGATCTTCCCCTTTTACCCCCTTTTCCGGCCCTGCGATCTCTGTTGATCACACGGGAAACGCTACGAGTATTAGAGCTCGAATAGCTTATCGAACCACTTTCGTATATATCTAGGTACCTACCTATGTAACGTAGTTTGATTAATCAAAATTTAAAACAAAGGACATCCGAGCTTGAGCTCTGGATAATGTTGAACATAGGAATGTGTAGTCCCATGTTAAATCCGACCTACCGCAAAGATCCGGAACCATAGAGGCGCGAGCGAATTGGTTGAAAACCCGGCATAATACAGATTGGTCGTCAGAATATAAAGGTGTCATGATGTTATATATGTTTTATTTCTATGAAACATCCTTTATCTGATTATATAACTCTGTCTGTATCATGATCGGCGCGTATGGTGGGGCTTCTATAATTACTTCGCCGCAGTACCGCATCGTTATGTTGAACACAGCCTCAAAACACCCGACTCACATTACTTCAATAAACTTATAATTGAACCTTCTCTTTCCTTTCTTCTAAATATCACCTAAGTTCTGATAAACAAGTCTACCGATGTTCATATTGTCGTTAACAAGTCTTTAACTGTAGGATTACATCATGGAAGGGCGTCTTCCAACGTCATCGGAGCAGGCGTGGCGAGACGACTCCAGCGACGAGCCACCGGCATACAAATCAAGAAATTTCCAGTCAAATAACGCTAGAAGTGATCTCCCATCATACGAGGAAACCGTTGGAGATGATCAGGACGAAAAGGATTATCAAAATGATAAGAAACCTACAAGTGCCAACCCGAAGAATAATCAAGACCTTCCACCTTGTAGCCACTGGTCGGAAAGCGGGTGTAATATGACATCCAACTCTAGACAATGCTGCTCTTGTGTCGACGACCGGCCTAAAACCGAGTCTGGACTCTATCCGATGTATGTGGATCATGAGGGCTGGGTTGAAAAGGCCACCAGGTGGAAGTATTACTGCCCGAGCTGTCAAGGTACGTCTAGTTAGTTTCCATTCCAGTGCGGTTCGCATACAATTTACTAGAGGCTCCTATCCCGCATATTCCTCCAACTAACTCGAAGTAGAATATTTCGACCCGGATGCTAAGGCAAGAAGCTTGAGAGACCAGTGGGCTTGGGCGGAGAAACGCGCACAGTCTTTGGCTGACGAGCGGGACAAACGGTATTTCGGTCTCGGGCGTTGGATACATGTTTGCAGCGAGTCAATAAAAGGTTGCCTGCCAGAGTGATCAATCGTAATGCTCTAGTGGTCGGGGACGCTCGATTGAGGAAACGCTTTCTAAGATAGTTCAAAGAATAATATATCAGTGTATACATGAATATCTATCACGAGAATCGTCAATATACCTTATATGTCACCTATTTAAAATTACGCAATTTCGATGCAAACCTTTCCTTGGTGCTTCCCTGAGGCTAAATATTCATACGCCTCCTTCGTCTGTTCCAGCGTAAAGATCTTGGGGTCGACGATAGGACGCAACTTGTCTATATTGGCTTCGATAGCGCGGCACATATCTTCCATCTGAAGCCGAGTGCCGAGCCATAGACCACGAGCTGTGAACAGTTTCATCCAGCAATCCAGCAAAACAGGCATTTCCGCACTCCCATCGCCACCGCCGACACCTCCCAAGACACAGACAACGCCGTCATGTTTTACAGCTGCGACGCTCTGCTTCAGCGAAGTTGGCCCCACGACATCAATGACATAGTCAACCCCGAATCCTCCAGTAAGCTCTCTGGCTGCGGAGGCCCAGTCGGGGGTCTCGCGATAGTTTATGGTTTGGTCGGCACCCAACTTCTCAAGAAGCTTCGCCTTCTCGGATGAGCTCGTCGTCGCAATAACCCTAGCGCCGACAAGTTTAGCGAACTGAACGGCAAAGATGCTCACCCCACCAGTGCCTTGCGTCAAAACCCACTGGCCGGCAGCGACTGGTTTCCCAGATAGACCGAAGAGCGCATTCCAAGCCGTGAGCCCCGCGCAGCTGAGCGTCGCAGCCTCAGGGAAAGTTAGGCCCTCGGGCATCGAGACAAGGCCTTGCTCGTCGAAAACTCCGGCAGTGCGTAGCGTGCCGTCCACCGAGGCACCGAGACCAACTTTTGACAACTCTTCGGTGAACGATCCTGCGATCAGCCGAGGGTTGAGCACGGTAATGACTTTGTCGCCTGGCCGGAACCGACTAACATGCCGCCCGGTAGCTACGACAATTCCCGCTCCGTCGGAGCCAGGAATAACGTTTGGCTTGGTGCCCCAGGGGAATTTCCCCTGAGAGACCATGATGTCTCGAAACTAGATTTGACGTTAGTCTTGCGAGTAGAAGGTAAATATACGAACGGACATTTAAAGAGGCCCCATGAACTATGACCAAGAGTTAGTAAAAGCGCAGACAAAAGTACCGACCGAGTCTACTAGGTTAGAGGCTTACTCCTAACCAAGACTTCGGTATCGCCGAGTTCAGGCACTGGCTGCTCTGAATATTTCAGGGATTCAAGGCCATCGTAGCCTACGACATTCCACTGCTTCGCGGTTTTTAGGACGGGCTGGGCCATTGCAAGATGTGGAAGAAGTCGGTAATTAATACGTACTTCCTGCACGTTAGACTAATATTCGATGTCTACATGGTAGGTGAACTGGCGTTCAATATATACTAAGAAGAGGTTAAAGGGGCTTGTATGGCATTATATAAGCATACGCGATTAAGATGTGAATAGTCAAATTTATAAGCATGTCCGTGGGGTTCCGTGGATCTCACCATCAATTGAAGCCAGAATATCGCATCACGATCAAATTCATATGGATTTGTAAGTGAGGTGGTTTTATGCTCCCTAAGAGAGTAAGTATAACTACCTAGGTTAGACTATAGTAAGTAATGAAGGTCAAGCATGAAAAGGGGCTTGCATATTGAATCCCGATAACTGCATAACATAATATATCGTATAACTACCTACCTAACGATCGAGTTGTATCAATTAACGGGGATTAGAAGAAAGAAATGATTAATGAAATCTTGACAGTTTCAAACGTCATCGCGTTCTTAAAAGAACTGCTGTCCTTTATCTCTGACTTAGCTTGGCTGTTAGAAATACATTTTACTATAACCCCTGATAAGATACCGCTTCTCTTATTACAGCTAGCCTAACCGATCAATACCAGGAAGACCCTGTTGCATGTTGCATCGGAGCAACCTAGGCTCCATTATATTTATTGTTTATACTTGTAAATAGTTGTGATCATCCACCTCCAACTACTGACAGGAAACATGTTGTAATATAACGAGTTTTTACGTATTGCACATACCAACGAGCACTTACGCGGAGGCCGAGGGTAGTATCAAAATCATTCATACGGGCTAGCCATGAATCTCATCCGATCTGATTGGGCGATACACCCCGGGTCTAAGCAGCGCGGCGGGTGGGCAGATCGTATCGACCGGAGATTGTCTTATCTTACTTATCTCTTCATTACATTTCAGCCAGGGATCAAGATTCAGTTGATTCAGTTGATTCAGTTGCATCTGGACTGATGGCCGGCCCTACAAGAACGAGCGTGCCGCTGCACCTGCATAGAATTGCATATGCCCGCAATGGACGACGATTCGATGTCGATTATCTGATTTCTGATTTCTGATTCCTGATTCCGACCAACCTTACTCTACTGTACTCTACTGTACTCTACTGTACTCTACTGTACTCTACTGTACTCTACTTTGTTACTTACTCTTACTTGTTGCTTTCTATAATTAAAGCAAAGACTTGCTATTCGTTTCTTTAATCTTTAATCTTTAACTTTAATAATATCCAACTCGACTGAAGAGGTCTATACGTTTAGGTACATTCGAGAGTCTAGGGTATCGGAGGCATAAGAGCAAGCATGGTGGGGAATACACCTACTCTTGAGGAAAAGAAGCCCGAGTTGGGAGGCTTGGATGACGATACGGTTGTCGCTGTCGACCATGGCGTACAAGTCAATGCCGCGGGATATAAAGATCAACTGAAGCGTCAATATGGTCTTCTTGGAATTGTCGGCTTTGCCCTTACCGTCGATAATGCCTGGGCAGCTTTGGGATCTTCGATATCGGTTTCAATTCGTAAGTAAAGCCCTCCTCATAACTACTTGGCATGTGATTTTTCTACTTGATGTCGTACTAACGTGGGCTTGGCTATCGACAGTAAGTGGAGGGCCTCCAGGTCTAATCTTCGGCCTCATTGTCGCTTTATTTTGGTATTCCTTTATAGGTATGAGTCTGGCTGAGGTATGCTGTTCTCCAATTTCCCCTTACAGGGACCCAACAGATCTGAGAAAGTTATGAGAAATTAACTTGGATGTTAACTTTTTTTTTAAGCTTGCTTCATCAGTTCCCACCGCTGGTGGCGTGTATCATTGGGCGACCATCGCGGCCGGGCCAAACTGGGGTCGAACTGTCGGGTTCTTCACAGGCTGGATCAACTTTTATGGCTGGATGTTCGACTTGGCAGCCCTGGTTCAAATCACGTCCAATATCCTCGTTCAGATGTACGCGGTTTACCATCAGGACACTTATGTTCCAGAATCCTGGCATGTCTACGTCACGTACATTGGTGTCCTATGGGCTTCAACCTTATTCGTTATTTTCGCGAATAGGCTCGTCCCGTATACCCAGCACTTCGGAATGTTCTTAGTCTTAGTCGGAGGTATCATAACGATCATTGTGATTTCGGCTATGAACCCAGGTGCCCACGCATCTAACCATTTTGTGTGGGGTTCGTTCGAGGAAAACAACCGTGAGTACCATTCAAAACACAATCCTGCTCCTCGACCCTCGTAAAACCTTCGAGCTCATAGATATAACTCGTAAACTTGGCTCCTTCCCAAGGTCTTCTCCGCAATGCTATCACGTTACTAACTTCGATATGATAGTGACGGGTTGGCAGGGTGGCGTTGCATTTCTTCTCGGAGTGCTGAACGGCGCATTCACTATTGGCACGCCTGATGCCATTACCCATATAGCAGAAGAACTTCCACACCCAAGGAGAGATCTTCCAAGAGCCATGGCACTTCAGATCGGTTTAGGTTTCCTGTACGCGTTTGTTTTCGCCATCGCGCTTAGCTACGCCATTACCGACCTCTCGGCATTGCAGGGTGGCATCAATACCTATCCCCTTGCTGTCATATATCAGCAAGCAACTGGTAGCTCAGGGGCGACCTTCGGTCTCTTGTTTATCCTGTTTCTCACTAGCATGTGCTGCTGTGTTGGGACGGTGCTCACGAACTCGCGCACGTACTGGGCACTGGCTCGAGACAATGCCGTGCCGTTCTCTGGTATTTTCGGCACCGTTAACGAAGGGCTTAGCTGTCCTATATACGCAACCCTGTTCGTGTCTGCCGTCGCTACTGGTCTTGGCGCAATCCCCTTAGGAAGCTCGAGCGCCTTCTTGGCTCTAACGGGCTCCTTCATCGTTTTAACGACAGTGTCATACGCAATTCCCTTTACTGCCAACATGATTACCGGCCGAAAATACTTCCCCCCGGGGCCTTTTCACATGGGTAAATTTGGATATGCAGTGAACATGATAGCTGTTTTGCTTATAACTATGTTTGTCGTAATATTCTGCTTCCGTGAGCTACCCCCATCCCTTGTGTGAGTTGAGTTGCTAACCTCTTTTCGTAGCGTATGAGATGCCCACAACCGTCGAGGCTATGAATTACAATAGCGTGATTCTTGTTGGGACACTCTTTCTTTCGTCGATATGGTGGATTGTGCATGGAACTCGACATTATCCGGGACCCAAGGTGATGAAGTTATATATTCATAATGATTTGGTCCCCGAGAACAATGGGGGAGCGGTCGAGGAGTACAATACGTCGATAAATAAGAAGGGCAATTGAATAACTAAGAATTCGCAATAGGGAGCTTAGAAGATTAAAATAAGACGAAAGATCGACAGTTGAAACCGACTCAGTTATTCTTGACTCGAACCACTTGCTCACTGACACTATGAGCTTTGAGTTTTTACACCAAGTTAAATAATTCCGAATATGGGAGTGCGCCTGAGTGATATATCAGCTCTCGGAAGCAGCTACAATTATTCAAGAAACTACTTATTGCGTCTAACTCCTTAGAATTACAATAGAACTGGCTGGCAGGCTTAGGTTACGATTCATGTTCGAATCAGGAATCTCGGAGAGCGTTGCACCGACCTCATCTCATTTGGATTGGGAAAACCCCGGCGAGCCTCTTCAAGTCTTGTTCCGCGATTCAAACCATTGCTATTCTAGTCTTTCTATGTACTATGTAAGTCTAGATCCTTTTTAGGCCGATTAAGACAAGGATCCTAGGATATAGCCCCAGAGATTAACTCGGCCTTCATTAGCAAAAGCAAGTACTCATTTCCAAATATTCAGATCCAATCAGTAGATACATTGGTCACATAGGACCCCGATGTATGTATTGTACATACGTCTGGCGTTTTATAATTCCGTACCTGACCTTGCCGTGTGGGGAATCTATGGGATGATGCTCGTGGTGCCTCGATCGCCTGTTGCATTGCACCTGCAGAGATGGGCCTAGGTCCAGGCCGTCGAGATGAGTGGAGGTGCCATCCATACATATGTACAATTAAAATGGCCTTTCTCCATGTGTATGGATGGAGCACGTCGATCCGCCTTGATCGATAGCTTGCCAATGTAGGCTTCACCCGTGATGCCTGGACATGGGCTGGGCAGACTACACAGGGATAGGTATTTTGTAGTCGCTTTAAATATATACGTACGTACATAACTCGAGTTGCCTCTTTGTTGGAAATTGCTCACACTACTTGCTACTTCGTATTCAACTTCTAGGTCAACTTACATGAGATGAAGTATCTCGTAGCCGGACTTCTTTCGCTCGCCGGCGTTGTCTCGGCTGAAGGGCAACTCTGGGGACAATGCGGCGGACAAGGCTTCACGGGACAGACAGCCTGTCCGTCGGGCTCTACTTGTCAAGTTTCGAATCAGTGGTATTCACAATGCGTTCCCGGTAAGGACAGAGATAGATAAACATAGTTCATAGAAGACTAACACGCATTCAGGAACCGACTCGGCGAACAGCGCGTCAAAAGTAACCACCAGCCCCACTAACGCTGTTTCTCTCGCAGCAACGGGCTTCGCAAAGACGGACGGCCTGCTCTTCAACATCGACGGCCAAACCAAGTACTACGCGGGCACAAACAGCTACTGGATCAGCTTCCTGACCAACAACGCCGACGTCGATAAGACGTTCGACCAGCTCAAGTCGGCGGGCCACAAGATCCTGCGCGTCTGGGGCTTCAACGACGTCACGTCTCAGCCAGGGTCCGGCACAGTCTACTTCCAGTACCTGTCGGCAAGAGGCTCGACTATCAACACGGGAGCCAACGGCCTGCAGCGCCTCGACTACGTAGTCTCGTCTGCCGAGAAGCGCGGCATCAAGTTGATTATCAACTTCGTTAACAACTGGAGCGACTACGGCGGGATGGCGGCTGTAAGTTGGAAGGGGTTTTTTTTTAACATCTAAATCCCACGTTGCCCCTTTCCCCCTTGAAAACGACCCCGTAGATCTAGTAGCGAGATCGTATACCTATCAGGTCGGGCCCTTACTCAACAACAAACAAGACAGCTAACCTCGCGCCCCAGTACGTAACCGCCTTCGGCGGCTCCCAAAAAACCTGGTACACCAACACCGCGGCGCAGAGCCAATACCGCGCGTACGTCAAAGCAGTCGTATCGCGCTACGCCAACTCCTCCACGGTGTTCGCCTGGGAGCTAGCCAACGAGCCGCGCTGCAACGGCTGCGAGACCAGCGTCCTGACCGCCTGGGCCAAGTCCACCTCGGCCTACGTCAAGAGCCTCGACCCCAACCACATGGTGACGCTGGGCGACGAGGGCTTCGGCCTCGACGGCGACGGCAGCTACCCCTACCAGTTCGGCGAAGGCCTCGACTTCGCGGCGAACCTCAACATCGACACCCTCGACTTCGCCACCTTCCATCTGTACCCGAGTTCCTGGGGCACGCAGAACGAGTGGGGCAACGCGTGGATCGAGGCCCACGGCGCGGCTTGTGCGGCCGCGGGGAAGCCGTGCTTGTTTGAGGAATGTGAGTATACCTGCCTATCTCCCTAGTCCATCCCTGATTATCGACCTATTTATCTGGGGGCGGGAGGGGGGTGTAAGCGACATGCCATGAATGTGTCAGACGCTAACTTCCGAGATAGACGGATCTACAACCGACCACTGCGGCGTCGAGGGCAAGTGGCAGAAGACCTCGCTCTCGACCAAGGGTCTTGCAGCCGATCTGTTCTGGCAGCTGGGGACTACGCTGAGCACGGGGCAGACGCACAATGACGGATACACCATATACACGGGCTCGTCGGAGTGGACTTGTCTGGTTACGAACCATGTCTCTGCTATTAAATAGATGGGATATTGTCGTTAGTGTTGATTGATTAGCTAGGAGTAAAATAATATCAATATCGATCGATTCAAGGGACTTGCCTGGTAGACGTGAAAATTATATATACAGAGCCGTTTTATTTCTGTATATGAATAATGTCTCAGGCATCGTAGTTTTACGGATTTGAGAATAGCGCAGGTATATTAAGGGGCACAGGCACAGAACTCCTCTGGCAAGACTCGTCGTAGCTTGATATTAGTGCAATCATTAAACGCCGTCATGGGCTTCCAGCCAATGTGTACCGCTCTAGCAAACAAAGGATATCACGATGCAGCGCCGATAACCAAAGACCGTAACCAAAACCCGTAGGTGTTACCCAACCCAATGCTATCCATATCGTCATCAATGCTTTGTTGAATCATTTGTCTTATCGTTATTCCTTTGACCAGATGGAGTCCTCGGTTGGAATCCAAACTTCTGGAATTTCTTCATGAACTTGAAAGTCGCCTTATTCTCGACGCGGTGGGCCTCTTCCTTTTCTCTCTCCTTCTCGAGAACTTTCTGTTCCTTTGCTGCGCTTTGACTTGTATCGAGCTCCGCCTCTTCTTTCTTCCGGGCCTCTTCGGGGTCTAGCAGCTTCTGCTTCTGGTGCGTGAGCGTCTGCATCGCCTCCTTACCCTTTTTCTTCGTCTTGATGTATGCCTCCAGCCCGACTAGAACGGCGTAGCTTTTGCTGATGCTCACGTGCGACATGTCTACGCCTTCTTCCTCTAGACTGTGCACAAAGGCGCGGAAATTTGAGGCCGGGGGGCGGTAGTGACCTCTATTTGATGGGTTAGTGGTTGCTTTTTTGGTAAGGGGCTTGGTGGACCTAGCAGGCCTCAGGAGCAATACCAACTCCCGAAACAAGCCGAAAAGGGGGAAGGAACTCTCAATGTTACATACGAGAGTGGCGAAAGGCTTGATAGCCGGCCGTTTTTTATCTTAATCAACCCGGCTGCGGATATCCGCGATCCTTGTAGGAACGAACTGTGCTGGAACGCGCCGCTGTTTTTGACGCCGACGTACAAGCGGAACGACGTGTCAGCAACAAATATCCACGTATTTTTGCGGACCGTCTTGCGGAGGAGCTTGTTGAATATTGTTGCGGCTGATACGTGTCGGATTTTCCTAACACCCTTTCGGTTGTCAAAGTCAGGGTCCGCGTACTTTGCTGCCATTGCAGCTTCTAGCTCCGACTCTCGTGAAGACCTCGGAGACGGCAAACCTGAGTGGCTGCGCGGCTGTGCGGGCGATTCCACGTTAGATTTGCCTTCTACGTGTGGCTCGATACTTGCTGAGAACGAGGGTGTAGGGTCGTCGATCGGGACAATACCATGAATGCTGTCCTTCCAATTTTCTGTGGTGTCAATACGCATGCCATTCTTGGCCCAAACTAGACGGCCTTCTACATCGACTGTCACCAGATAATATTGCCTCTCCTCTCGGCTGAGATATCGCACTTGCTCGCGATCCAGCCTTTCCCTAGGACAAGCTGCCAAGTCAATTTGCCTACCTTCACCATAGTCCAGCCAATAAAAGAAATTCTCGTTGGTGTCGGATTTCTTCCATTCCTCATGGTATGCTCTCAAGTTAGACCCGTACCGGTGCTTAAGGTCGAGCATTTCCAAGAAGTATTGTAGTCCCATCATTCGGGCGTGTTCTCGTCTCTTTTCTCGAGCTTTCATTCGCTTCTTTCTTACTTCTACCTTCTTTTCGGCGCTCATACCTTGAAAGTCTTCTTCGTTAAGTGATGAGGACGAACTGTCTTCTGCATGGTCGGAATCCTCATCTGCCCCAGCGCGGCGGGCTATCATGGCCACCTTCATCCAATTCTTCCGTGCTGTGGATCGGCTACTGCTAGGCCTCCTTTGGTTGCCTGCATCCCCCCCGTTCTCGATGCCTTGCGAGCTATCCTGTCTAGCTCGAGGCGTGTTTAGGTCTTTCCACTGTGCGTCTCTGATTGCATGTGTCCACCTGGTACCTGCATCTAAACCAAGCCCTTGCATCTCTCTGCGCACACGATATCCACGATAAGTTCGCTGAATTACGGTTGCCGCTTTCGATCTAATGCAGTCATCTAGAGCTTCACCTTTTCCATTAGACATTGCATTCTTGCTACTCGGCCTGGAGCGTGATTTAGAGCTTGAATGTCTATGCCCGAATATAGAGTGATGATGTCCTAGGCGTTCCTCTTCCTCAGCTGCCTTCGATTGCATGAAGTCTCGTCTTGCCTGCATGCTCGTGTGGGCAATTGCTATGCTTTGGCGGCGTAGCTCTTGATCGCGACGCTTGTGCTCTTTTTCGCGCTGCTCTTGTAGTTTTGTTAGGCGCTGGAACTCTTCCTTGGATGGCGGTTGTAGAGAGTCTAAGTATTCCTGGCGACTCTGGTGACTCTGGTGACTCTGGTGACTTTGGTGACTTTGGTGACTTTGATGTGATGTAGTATCCGGCGAACTTTTAGATTCCCTGTCCGGACCGGGCGATGATGGTGGGGTTAGCGGGAGAGACCCCGGTGTAGCGGCGGCGAGCTGCGGGGCTAACGAGTGAGATGAAGATAGAGACGGGGGTAGGGATGGAGATGGATTACTTGCGGGTGACATTATTGGCGTAACAGTATGAGCCATCCTGGCCATCTTGCCACTTACACTAGATGGTCACAGTAGAAAGGTCACCATTAAAAATGAAGGCGAGGAAGCTTAAAGTTACTATATCGCTGTGATGCCATGTGTGGCTACTGATAGGATTGATACGTAGGTAGGTAGGTAGTAGAATAGTTAAATTGACGATATTCGGAAAACCTCTAGGTAATGCGTGTAATTGTAGGTGTGATTGTAGGTGTAATTGTAGGTGCAATTGTAGGTGCATAGGGAATTTTGATATGTACAAATGCCTGATATCATCAGTGGTTTTGTTCAGAATGACGTAATTCCCTACCTAAGATACCAATATGCCGGTCGGTTAAACGGCATACTAAGGTGCGATATGCGCGTGGCAGACTTAACATCCGTTTCGTGTAACACGCCAGCAAGACGGAAGATGTACTGCGTGCTCATAAATAGGAGTATACTCAACTGTACATAATGTGATAGCAGACATGTTACCAAGATCAGGCGGGCTTCGGAAAGATAAAACCTGCAGGTGAACTACCATGGGTTAGGTACCTAAGTACGCTTCCCGCTTCCCGGCATATCTCGCTTCGATAGCCCTATGGTGCAACATCAGTAAGCCTAAATCTGTTGTGGTGGTATTGTGTGTGGCAAGATTTATTATCTCATTAGGATCGATCTGCTTTGTATACTATTTAGACATTGGGATAGTTGTTTGCTGACTTTATATTTAGAGGTCGAAGTTTTAAAGCAATTGTTAACTACAAATGAAGATTAACTAGGTTGTTTGGTTTTAAGAGTTAAATAATACATGCACATCTAAGATATAAATTAGGTAGGTACTGAAGTTACAATTGCATAACATATTGCTGAATACAGACATTTCATGCAGTTACTTCCTACCTAGGCATGCTTTAAATTAGAACATCGAAAGAGGTAATCAAGTAGGTTACATATGTATTTACAGCGTGTGCTTGGGGACTGGCATACAGTTTAACAGAACAGTGTTTAGATGACTCATCTAATGTTCAATACCTAAGTACATGTACCTACCTACCTGTACCTGTATTGAAGGTTTAAGCTACCTAGGTAGGTATGTACCTACCTGTATATGAATAAGGAGGCGGCCTCCAAGTTCTGGGGGAGTGCCATAGCGAACGCCTAAACCATAAAGGAGCTGCTTAGATGCGCACTGTACATACTATAGTTGGGTACCGTAGCAGAGTCCAGTGTTGCGCGCGTGCATCTGTAATAACTAAAAGACGGGAGTGATCAATTGATGACAACAAGGCGCCCAGAAGTTTGATTTTGGCCCCAAGAAATTATCTAATTGTTTTGGTACGTCAATGCGCATTTGGTAAATACCATATTAATCTTGTCCTGTGCCACCAGCGATCATTATGTCCATTATGTCCATTCACACACCTCGAATCAATGGCTACCTCTTCGCGACGACCTGATGCGCTCCAGCGCCCCCAGCAGCAGCAGCACCAGCAGCAGCACTACCAGCGACGCGCCCATCCCCATCCCCATTCCCATCCCCATCCCAATCCCCATCAACAGCACACAACTAACCACACAATTAATCCTAACATTAAAAACATCAACCCAGCTACTGCAAGTCTTGACGCTAATAGCGTGGCTGCTAAACATGCTCATGTCATCGCGACACATATCAAAACGCGAAACTCGCAAAATATCCTTCAACAAACCAGTCCTTCACGAATGAAGCGCCCTCTAGATCCTATCGCCAATAACTACGACCCTCCTAAGACCAAAAGAGCCCGAATTACTGTCGAGATTCTAGCGAGACCCACGAGACCCATTCCTTCTACCAATCCTCCTAGATCCATCACAGCGAACACGGTGAAGCCACAATCTCAACCTCAATTTCAACCCGAAACTCGCACGAACGAGCCTCCGGTCGCATCAACGCAAATTCTCCCTGCTCAACGGGAAACTACCAAGACGGCGACAGCAGTAGAACCTGGTTTAAAAAGACATAAAGAAAAGGCCATCAATGGAATTAAACATGAACTTGATAGATTACAACCAAGTGCAACCGATACCAATTCGGCAACAGAACGGCCCGGTCGCAAGTTGCGGTCACAGGAGGCGACTCGCTTCAAGAGCGAGTTGTCAGCATATTTCCCCGATTACGATGAAGTAATCGGCAATGATCCTAAAGAACAACGTAGGTGCAACTATTACAATTCCCATTTTCCAATTGAGAATTATATATTATTATTATTATTATTATCATTATATATATATATATATATAATTTTGTTAAGATGCATTCGTTCAATTGCTAATACCAGAAATTAGACGTTCTTAACCTCGATACCCCAATTGTCCTCGTCGATACCGATCCCCTCTTTGGTACTCATCAGTCACAACCCCCTGTACCCCCTCCAGGCGCAGCGACAGACACCAACGAGCGACCCCACACTATATATAATACAGTGCGAACTTACGGTGATCATTTGTTCGCTAACCTGTACGACTCTCAACGCATTGATTTCGCCTTTCTTGAAGCACGATATAATGGCAAAGATGTTGAAGACCCCCTACCAGATGCTTATTTTGGACCAGCGCATAAAAAAGCCGAGAGGTTAGAAAAATCGATCAGAAATACAGAAAAAGGTCGAGCGCAACATGAGAAGGACCAAATCATCCGGCTGCTCAACGAGCTCCAAGGCCATGACTGGCTAAGAACAATGGGTGTCAGTGGTGTCACTGAAAGCCGCAAGAAGACATTTGAGCCTGCCCGAGATCACTTCATTAAGGGTTGTCAAGCCATCTTGGAGAAATTCCGCGTATGGAGTCAAGAAGAGAAAAAGAGGAAGCTTATGAAGGAGCGGGCGTTAGCGGAAGAGGCGGAAGAAAACGAAGAAAAAGAAACCGAGGAGGAGGATAACGTTGACGAGCAACCAAGCCTGGAAGGGACTTCAGATGAGGATGAAGAAATGGGCGACGTCGAAACAGACCACGATATCCGGGAAGATATTAGCGACGGGGATCCCCCAGACTACAGCGATGCCGACGCATCTGCCCGGCAACTTCTTGACGAGGCGTTAGCACGGGCTAAGTACACTGCATCGAGCTCTAAGAGATCTCGTGGTGAACCACCACCACCAAAGTCTCCAGAGCCATATGTGGCAAAGGAGTTTACGTCGTTCTTTGTCAAGAAGCATCAGCGTGAAGCAGCTCTCAATAAGGGCCGGCGAAGAGGAAGGACTATTGTAGCTTGGGGCCATCCTATTCCAGATATGGTCGAGGGCGACTTTGAATTACCCGAAGAATATCGTGACATTGAGACTTTGAAAGCCCACGAGAGACAAAAGAGGCGGGAAAGGCGTCAGCGTCAGCATTAATTTATTGAATCCATGTTAGGGCTTTCATGTTTGTCTTCGGGATATAAGGCAACACTTAGTATATACGTTTATTGCTGGACTATCGGGACACTAAAGTTCCTATTCATTCAAATGCAACCGAATGTGGTTTTGGATTCACATGCTGCTCCCCACGAGAACCTTTGTTCGTACTATATAACGATGCGTTTGGGCATTTAATGTGATAGCCTAGTAGTATAACTCCCACCAAAGCTCATCGCGGTATATGGCATGATGCTGATGAGAGTGAACCTGTGGTACTTATCTGCTAGTTAGGTACATGTAAAACACAATGTCAGATAGATTAGTAGTGTCAAGAACAATATGAGACATGCAGTAACTCGAGGGTCTTAGCTGTCCGGGTGTGATATGTAACTGTATATCTACCTAGGTACGTATGTACAATCCAATGCACTTAAAGTTTGGTATGTACCTATCTGATGTCAAGAGGGGCAGAGTTTGAATGTTGCGTACCGCCATCTCGGGACCTCGCTTTTTTTTTTATAGTTAATACTAAGGTACATATATTAGGTACCTTAGGTACCTAGGTACACATATATAGCAGGCGGTACTTAGGTACCTACGTGAACGTATGCGGCGATTGCCTTGGGTAGGGATGCACGGACCTTACATGTACTTATCGATTCCTTAGGATGTAGGTTAGGCCATTCTTACCTTTGAAGCTTTGTAACATGGTAGCTACCTTATGTACATACGTACATGTAGTGTAGGTACATGTAGTAGATCAGGTCGTAGGTTCGAGGCGGGAGCTTTTTGAAACTGCGCGTTGATATCAACCGACCTTTTTTTTTATTAAACAAACTACATTTTTCTTTGCCTCTATGCCTCTAGGCCTGCGCATCAAACCTGATTATCCGGAACTCATTGTTCAGCACAATAGCTAATAGTATTCACTCGTACTCTGCGCGTATCATAGCCACGATCCTTCAGCGCGCTTTACAATCGCGTATGAGGCTAACCTAAAACACCGGCATTTATTCAGAATTCTACTATCTTCGACCTTCGATATACTTTGGGGTATCTGGAAAACTACCCCCGCAGGTTTACCTCTTTCTAGTGTCATCCGTTTCCAATATCTCCTGGAAAGACGAATGCTACCGATGAGTACGATCATTACGTAGCACAGCGGCTTCGCAGACGCTCAACATGCCTGGCATAGTAGAGCCAGAACCTCTCGAGGCCGGTGATACTCCTCCCGTCGAGCTCCCTGTTGACGATACACCTCCTCGCCCTTACGTCGTTTTCACCCAGAATGTCGATCTCGAAATCGATTTTGCCCAAAAGCGCGTCCACGGGCGATCCGACATTTTAATCGTTCCTTTCCTCGATGTTTCCGAAGTCTATATCGACGCCCGTCAGTGTGATATCGATGTGACTCAGATCACCGTTAGCAACTGTGAGGTAGAGGCCTCCTACAACGATCCTTGCGAATCAATACGAACACCCGAGCACTACCGATGGTCAGCACCTCAGTGGCCGATTAAGAAGCGCCGCATGCAGCCGTTGCTACACCACAAACGTAAGGAAGTGCCAGCGCTGGACCATGACCTAAAGTGGTGTACCCCTCTCGATGGATCCATTAAGGTCAAGCTCCCAAGTGTAGATGAAGTGCTACAGAAGAATAAAGATTCCCAGAAATCCGACCAGCAAGATATACTCCTGCACTCTGACGGCACCATAGGCGGCTACAGGATTCGCATTCCCTTCAAGCTGAAAAATGTCTGCGATGGTCTCCAATTCGTTGGTGTTGATGAGGCGGATATCCGATACCCTCACGTCTATACCCGCCACTCTGTCGAGCCTGGTACGGCATCTTCTATCTTTCCGTGTGTCGATGACCCGGGCTCGCGAAATTCTTGGAAGATTTCTATCACTTGTCCTCGGACGCTCGGCGATGCGTTCCGCAAGCCGCCTACGACGCAACAACCGAAGGGAGTTGGTCCTACTAATAGAAGCCACAAGAGGAAACACGGCGAGGATGAGCCTAGAACGGTGGATATCAACCTTACAGAGGAAGACAAAATGCTAGATATGACCGTCGTCTGCTCAGGGTATTTGACTGGCGAGGTGGTCCACAAGGACGACGAAACCAAGAAGACTATGACTTTTGAGATTGATCGTAACAAGGCAGCAAAACATATTGGCTTTGCCGTTGGACCTTTTGAGCACGTGGACCTGTGGTCGGAATTCCGCAGTGAGGAGGATGACACCAAGCTTGGTGCCAACGCTGTCAAGGTCCACGGGTATTGCCTTCCAGGCCGTGCGGAAGAGGTTAGAAACACGTGTTCTACTCTCGTCACAGCGGTGGATTACTTCGTACTTACTTTCGGCCGGTATCCATTTGAGAGTTACAAGGTCTGCTTTGTTGATGACATGGTTGAGGAAACTATACCCCTGTGTGCCTTTTCGCTATGCAGCACCAGGCTACTCTACCCTGCGGATATTATTGATACTGAAGTGGAAACTACAAGGACACTGGTGTACTCGCTAGCAAGCCAGTGGTTTGGCGTCAACATTGTTCCTAACACAAAAGGAGACATCTGGCTCGTCGTTGGGATAGCATGGTTCTTAACTGACCATTTTATGAAGATGTTGTGCGGTAACAATGAATACAGGTTTCGGATGAAGTCGATGTCGGACCGGCTTGTCGAAGTTGACATAAAACGCCCGTCTCTGCAAGACATCGGTGAACACCTTTACTTGGGCAATTTCGAGGTGGATTTCATGAATCTTAAGGCACCCCTAGTACTGTTCATACTAGATCGCCGTCTTTCCAAATCGTCTAGCTCTACAGGAATCTCCAAAATCATCTCTCGAATGGTCAGCAAAGCCAACACGTCAGGCCAGGCCCTCGACGAAATTTTAGAGTCCAGTGCATTCCGCAGAGCTTGCGAGAAGGCCGGAAACACGAGGCTAGAGAGCTTCTGGAATCAATGGGTTCTCATGTCTGGATGTCCGAGATTCGAGGTCTTCCAACGTTTTAACAAGAAAAGATTGTGCGTTGAGATGACAATTCGACAAACTCAGGATATAGCTTTTCTCAAGGCCAGGCCGCTCGACAAGAATGACTTCTGGAGGGATGTCATGGAGGAGAACCATGCCGTTTACGCAGCCGAGTTGCAACAGTCTTTTACTGGACCTATGACCATCCGAATCCACGAAGCGGATGGCACACCTTACGAGCACATAGTTGAAATTCGAGAAGATACTGCCAAATCTGTGAAGTTCGAGATACCCTACAACACAAAATACAAGAGACTCAAGAGGAACCGTCGACAGCGCGAAAGAGCGTTAGCCAGCAGTACAAAGGGGAACGAGGATGGGCATAGGGATCTATATTATTTAGGAGATGTTATGCAGCACCAGGATGACATGGAAGAATGGGATTTCCGTGATTGGGACGAAGAAACCGAAGCAAAGATGGACCAAGAATCGTACGAATGGATTCGAATGGATGCCGACTTTGAATGGATCTGCGAGATGCAAACAAATCTCCCTGCTTACATGTACGCATCGCAACTGCAACAAGATAGAGATGTTGTTGCACAGCAAGATTCCATGCTATTCCTTCACAGGAGCTTCTCCAAGACAGGACCCCACCCTCTTGTCTCAACCATACTCGCTCGGACTGTATTGGATCCTCGATATTACTACGGGATACGCGTCATGGCGGCCGATGAGCTTCCTCGCCATGCGGTGAACGAGCCTGTGAATTGGATAGGGCTTCGGCATTTGATGAAAATCTTCCAGCATTTCTTTTGTCAGCCGGGAACATATACCCCCTTGCCGAATGACTTTTCAAATAAGCGCCAATATCTAATTCAACGTACTATCCCGGAGGCTGTATCCCGCATCCGTGGCGAAGACGGCAGGTGTCCTAAAGATGCGCGCATGTTCATCCTCGAGCAACTTCAAGCCAATGACAATTCGACCAATATCTATTCCGATCAGCCATATATCTGCAGGTTAATCAAAGCCTTAGCTATTTGTCAAATTCCAGACGAGAAGAAAACTAAACAACAAAAGTCCATGTCATTCGCCTTCGAGGACGCCGATGGTGACGAGGTAATGGCCGATCCTATCGATTCAGAACCAGAGGAATTCCGTAGGCTGGCAATGGACGAGATCGAGCGGTATCGTAGGATGGATGAGTATTCTCCTTCGTACCAGAACTGCTTCACCACGGCCGCACTCGATGCTCTCTGCCGTTTAATGAAAGCAGATGTTATCAAAAAGGACCCCGTCGTATTTGTTCAATACCTACAGGACCAGACTTATGACCTTGTCCGTGTCAAGGCCTGCGAATCACTTGTCGAACTAGGAATGCTGGAAAGCCCTAAATTCCTGCAGTTTTACCTGAATTTGACCAGTACCGATCCTTCGCCATTCGTTCGAGACCGACTATTTAAAGCCCTCTGTCGTGGCTTTGCTAGTATCGCCATAGGGGAAAACGAGCGGCCAGAGGAGCGAGCGCCAAATCAGCCAGCGGGAGATGACCTTATCGTTGAGCGTGACGATGAAACCATGGAGGCCAGAAAAAAGGCCAAGGCTCGCAAGGAAGATCTCTCGGTAGCGCTTGCAGCCTTGAAGAAAGAGACTACGGACGATGAGAACTTACACGAAGCTATTTGGAATGCGATAAACTCGCCTATCTTGACTGTATCAGAGCGAGTTAATCTTCTCGAGCTATGCTCGATACTAGTCGAAGATGATCCATCGCTAACTTTGTCTTTCGATTATCCTACCTACTGGACCGTCGAGCGTGGTGAGAAGAGCAGATCTAGATGCTTGGTGACATTCAAGCGGCATTTCAGGAGGAAATCACGCAAGGTATACGCTACACAACCGTTGCCACCTAAACCAGAACCTAAGCGAACCATCACTCTAAACCTCAACCGAAACGTCAGCTCAGGCTCGAAAGCTGCAACGCCTTCGACCGCCCAAGCTCCTCCGCTACCTGCACCAACTGTTCCCACTCCAAACCCTTTGGAAGCTGTTCCTGCACCCAAGCCTCCTGCACCCAAGCCTACTGCACTTCCTTCTTTAAAGCCCTCGCTTACGTCGAAGGAAAGAGAGCCTGTCCCTCCTGTGAAGCAGCCCGCTACCCAGGAATCGAAAGAAAAAAACAAACAAAAACAGGCGAAGCAGTCTGCTGCCATAGCTACATCCCAGAAAGCCGTTTCAAGTTCTTCTCAAGAAAAGCCCAAAATAGGCGATTCTAACGAAGACAGCATTTCCGTTCAGGCCCCTGTACGACCCACGGTTGAACTTCCGCAACCCGAGCCAAGACCAGCGCCTTCGAAGGTCAATGTAAGCGGTCATTTAGCCCCCCCGAAGCATTCGAAGCCCCTCAAACGGGCGAGCACCGAAGGCGATGGCCCTCGGCCGACTAAAATGGTCAAACTTGATACATCTAGGATTCCCAGGACGGAATTGGAGAAACTTGGAAAACGACGGAAGCCCAAGATGCTGGTCACGGTGAAATTCAAGGCCTGGGAAAGATTACGCAGACGCAAAGACAACGTACCCCAAGCCGGTTCAATCCGAGCTATGCTTAAGCATCGTAGACCAGAGGATAAACTAAGCGGCTTCAACCCACGTCAAGGCGCTCGTCCGGCCTCGCCTACGGCGAGGGCTTCGGATTTTGCTCCTATGAAATCATCTTCGGCAGCACAATCCTCCTCTCAGAACCCCCCTGCTAGACCCAATCTTCCATTGAAAGCACCGTCACATTCCTCTCAGTCAAGCGGAAACAACGGAAAGCCACGAAAACCTCTTCCAGAAATGCGCAAGCCGCTCCCATCAGCAGCGCCAACTAATCCCGCGCCGCCGAAGCAACCTCAACCATCCTCGTCCCCTCCAGCACCAAAAGGCCCTCCCAAGCTGAAGATCAAGCTGAAGCCGCCTACATCGGGGTCATCAGGGACGTAATACAGTAATGAATATATCGTCTCAAATATATTCACTTTTTTTTTTCGCATGGCATTGGCGTTGGGAACAAGAGGATATGACTCTGGCCAAAATGGGTTGCCTTTTTTTTGTTTTGTTTTTTTCTCGTACGTGTACATTTCACTAGGAAACGATGATTAGGTGGTCAGTGGTCAGTGAATGGACGGAGGGGCGGATGGATTTAACACCTCAAGACTTGCAATGAGTAGGCTACCGTTGCTATCTGCTGGTCCCGGAATCGAGTCATGGCAGAGGAGGAAGGAAGGAAAGCAATGGACCAAGTGTGTGTGTATATTACTAGTCAAGCCTAATAGGAGGCGTTGATTACGAAGTCTTTCTCAATGCAGAGTGCAATGCTTCATTACCTGTAGAGGTGTAGCAAATTGTAACCGTGATTCGTCTATGTGATATATTACAGGCCTAGCCCTGGTTTCGTAGATGGACAGTATTCCCTGGTATTTTTGATATATCATTTTCAGTTGTAGTGTTGACATTAGCGAATATGCCTTCGGCCCTGATGAATTTCTACTAGGTGCTTTCTAGACATCCATCTATTATATGAGGTAGCTTTTGTATTCCACACGCTGGGAATGCTAACAAGATAGCCAATGATCTTCAATCTCTGATACAATATGTACAATCGTACCTAAGTTTTCAGAGATATATATCCTTCCCTTCCTCTCCTTCATCTGAGTCCTCTCTGCAGCACTACGGTAGCAGGTGTCAGCACGTTTCTGAAGTACACGGCAACGAGAGCTCAGGCAAGGTGTATAGGAGAGAACTAAACCTCAGCTTTTGAGTAGCTCAAGGTTTGGGGCGAATGAGAATTAACTTACTCCTTCGTCTTTCTTGCTGAAAGTCTCTTCTTGAATCGCATCCACAAACCCACATAAACAAACAAGCAGATGCCTGCCCATCTACCCTTTCACCCACCCCCTTCTCACGCGCAACAAGCAAGACACCCAGCACCCCTTAAACTCACTGCCCCGGCTATCATTTCCTAGTCTCCACCTCTCCCGTAGGAAGTCCATCTTTGTCACATTAAATCGGCCTGCTATGCAATATGCAGCTACCTATCGGGCAGCGCTTGACTGACTAGCAGGGACGAAGTCGCTCCTGGAACACAGAAGAGCCGTGGGCTATCTCGTGATGCGAAATGCTAGGGTTCTGTGCGTGCGAGCTTGTGACTAGATGGAACTTGTTCCGAGAGGGGCTTCGCTGTACTTTGGTAGATGGGGAGATGGGTGGGATGGGTGGTGCTTGGTTTGCTGTGGGGGAGAAGAGAGGGGAGTGGAGAGTAGATAGATAAGGCGCTGTAGCTGTGGTGAGCTGGATATGTTGGATTTGGCGTTGAGCGATGGTGAAAATGCTGGGCTGGCGATACTTGCAAAAAGGACTGCAAGAGTATTTGTGTGTATCTTATATATATTGGAAGTCTTCACTGTGGAATGAATGTTAGCAATGCATTTTTTAAAACATGGTCCTAGGTGTGGGATTGCCTCAGAACAGAGGTTGCCCACGTTTCGTAACTCGGGAACCATAATATAGAAAGAAATAGGAGATAAGGTAGACTTACTATTTCGCTGTCTTTCTAGCATGGCTAGCATGTCAAATCAAGTGTGTCCTTAGTTATTGCCCCCATTCCCATATGATCTAGTTCCTTAATCCTTAAAGGTAAGAAGCAGCAGCCAGATATGCCACGCCCACGCCAGCAACGCAAAAATTAACGGATAATCGCAATGGCAGGGTCCTAACGCCGTCTCGACCCCGTCCCCGCCGTTGATCCCGCAATACCTATCCGCTCTTCTCTACTCCGCGTCATCATACGCGGTGCTTGTGGCGGGGCCACGGTAGTTGGCTCCGTGCTTCCCTGTCTGCTAGTTGCTGACCGAGCCGTCCCCGTCGTCCTTCCTGTCTGCCCTGTGCTCCCGCTCGTGCCCGTGATCCGCTGCATTCGTGTCGAAGGGGCTGGTGCGGTTGGAGTGGTGTGTTGGCCCCGTGTTGCTCGCATTTGCTGAAGGTATGCAGCGCGTGCCTGGCCAGGTGACTGCTCGCGCCTGCTGAATTGTTCGCGGGCGGCGCGGCGGGGCGCCATTACGAAGGGATCGCTTGTATCAGCTTCGTCTGCGTCCACGTCCACGTCCACGTCTTGCATGTCTTCGTCGTCTTCGATTCGTGGTGGCGACGGGGTTGCGGACGAAGAAGAAGTGTCCATTGCGGTAGGTTGAGGTTGTAACGGGTGAGAGGTCGCGCGTGAGCTTGTCTGGTTTTGCGATTGGGCTTGCATGGCTGCGAAGCGGCGGTCTTCGTACGCGGCGACATCTTCGGCGGTGAGGGTAAGCGTTGTTGGTGGGCGACGGAGCATTTTGTCTAGTTTTTTTTTGTTGCTTTCTTTTTTGGCGAGGATCTCAGTTGCTATATGGTCGGCTTTGGCCTTTTGTATTGCTCGTAGTGTTGCGCTGATGAGAGGGATGTCGCTTGAGAGAGGATAGCGATACCAATGAAAGAAGGTAGATATTTGATGCTTTAATGAGTGATACGAAGTAATTGATTTAGAGATATTGATCCAATTGCTAGTAAAGATAGCTTAGCAATGTAGATACAGGATAGACCGCGAGCGCTGAATATTGCAATGTGTTTGGTTGTTGTTATTGTTGAGGTTAAAAGTAAACATAAATTTAATTTCTATGGCGACAACCTTAAAGTTCACTACTGGCAGTTGCGGGGTCCGAGTTTGGCGGTGATGTTGTACGTACCTAGGTACCTTTTAGTGGGACATCCCGCGCCTATGCGCTTATCTTTCAGCCCTAGTAGTGGATCAGGTACAATGCCTACATGTAAATGGAATGCGTCAAGTTTTGGGGTTCTTTTGTACCTAAACGAAGTATGATGTAGCTGCCCGGGCAACATGAACTTGCATTGTACATGTATGTTAGGTACCTGATACCTTATAGAACCCATCCTAATAAGGTACTGTATCGTATAAGTCATTTGTACAGCTTCTTGCAGCCCGGATCTCTCTAACCTTAGGTACATTATTGTTAAATAAATTACTTTTATATGATAGTTAGTTGATAGCTAATATCTACCCAAGTAGGTATGTTTCTAACAAGCTTTACATTTTCTGTTGATTCATTTAATCTGGTGTTAATTTTTAAAACATCTACTTTAGAAGCAGGACAATAAGAAATTATTTCCTTGGAAAAACTTCATCTAATATTTCGATTTTATGAAAGTTTATCTGATTAAGTTCACGATCTAATTCTAAAAGATCTCCCCTGGAGCAGAATGCTAACGATATAGGAGGGTGCCTCTAATATAAAGGGCCTTAATATGTTGCATGATCTCTGGTTTGCATGTGCCTTTTTCGGTAAGATCGTCGTCGAAGAATGACAAGGCAGATTGCGCATTCCGGAGATGTAAATCCCGTCCTTCGGGTCGGATGCTTTGCCTCGCTAGTCCGGGGAGAGGAAAATACCTAGCCGCAGCTCACGGAAGGATCCAGTGGTAGTATCACGTTCATAGTCGTATTTGATAATGGTTAACCCAAGGATATGGTTGCCGGGATTCGTCATAATCCAGGGATCGATCCATCTGGATGGAGGATTCTATGAAGTGCTCAAGTTTAGGATGGCCTCTTCATTATACGAAGACAAACACTGCCGTTTTAACTATAAGACGGGATAATGTATACATAATCAATTTAAACATGTTGATATCATCATAAGCAAATACAATTTATAATGTTTGTAAGGGCAAACTTCCATTCCTCTTTTAATATAAGTATTTTGACTCTTCGTATATGAGACTATGAGAAGCTAGACCAATACCAATTTTAGTCAGCTACTATAGGAGGCCGGGTTTGAAACTTTGGGTAAATATCTAACTTAAAGTATAAGGTATTATAGGAAACTTACTAGGTTAATTACCTTACCTAAGTTATATCGTATCTTTACGATTTAAATTATTCAAAATTGTTTTATGTTCAACCAAATGACCTGAAAGTAGCACTAAGATAACTAATCAACTAACTAACTAACCCTAGTTACAACAGTTAGGTTAAATGCAATTAAGCGATATAGATAACTCAATTAAGCCCACTAAAATTTTCCTGCCATTCAACTTTGCGCCAAATGCAACTTTCGGTGCAACTCTCATAAACCATCAATACAAAAACACAACATGCATCCTTAAGATAGATTTTGAGAAGGGCATATATACACACCAAGCCCATAGCATACCCGTCCGACCGATAGCCAATTCTACCATCCTCATAATGGACGCGCACGCCCTCCTGACCGCCCAAGGGTGGCGGGGCAAAGGACACACGCTGCATCCAACGAGCGACAGCACGGGATTGACGCACCACTTGCTGATGAAGCGCAACGACGACGGTAGCGGACTCGGAAGCAAGAAAGGTGATCACAAGGCTGAGGCATGGTGGCTTAATGCATTCGACCAGGCCCTCAAGGGCATCGACACTAAGACCGGCACCATGAAGCAGACCCTTAAAGGCGGCGCGCTCGAAAAGATCACCTCTCGCAGCGCAGCTAGTAAATACATAGGCACACGGGGCCTGTACTCTTCATTCGTGCGCGGCGGAGTCATAGAAGGGACCGTAGGCCAGAGCCTGGTGACGGGGCTCCCGACGCCTCCAGATAGCGGCGTTGGCACGCCAGAGGCTTCTTCCTGTGTAGACGGGAAAGAGACGAAAGAAGAGAGGGGGGCTAGAAGACAAGCCAAAAAGCTACGGAAAGCAGAGAAGCAAGCGAGGAAAGAGGTCAAAGAACGGGCTGCGAGGAAGGTCGAGAAGAAAAAGGCGAAGAAGGTGGAGAGGGAACGGATAAAGGCTGGCGAGACGAAGGAAGAGCGTCGCGCAAGGAGACAGGCGAGGAGGAAGCGAAAAGAGGAGAAGAGACGGCTTAAAGTAGCGTCTGGGGGATGAGTAGAGGATTTCGAGGGAAGAAAGCAATTTACTCATTGAAGTTCTCATACCCGGAGCTTCTCTCCTCGGGTTCACGATGGTCGGGATGCGATATACTAGCTCTGCGGCACACTCTGTGGTGCATTCGTGGATCTACGCCGAAGGGTTCATTAAGTTAGCGTCCTTTTCGGACAAGGTTAATCACCAGAGATGGACAGCCGGCTTACTGTTGTAGCTCATGCTCCTCGTGAGCAGGTTGCTGTTGCTGTCTCCGTTGCGCGTCGCCGCAATATTCCCATAGCGCAGCATTTACAGCCGCGATAACGACGAAGAGGAAAATTACAACTAGGACTACCCCGAGGATATCCTTGACCTCCCAAGCATATACTACGGCCTCTTGTCTAGGTACTCGTAGATTACTTCTCATTGTGCTTTAAATTGTGTTTGAATTGATATATCTCTAAAGCGCATGCACGTGTACCCAACTTGATCTAAGCAAGGGGCGGAAAGGGGGTTCCAAGTTGGTTCGAATATAATTTATTATGTTTCCTTGGGGATCTTGCCTGGTTTATTTGACAGTATCCAAGGCCGTCTCTCCCAGAAGTCATCCTTTATAATGTCGACATGATCGACCAGCACTTTCGCCTTCGCCCGTCGCTTTTTGTCCTTGTCTTCCTGAGTTTTGGACTGTCGTACGGCTTCTGCCAGCTCATCGGCAGTCTTAGCTACGTCGTTTCCAGGCTCGACGAGTTCGTACTGTATACGTTAACACGGCGACCAGACTATACAGAGTAGTGAATATAACTGACATCTCGATATATTACGCTCCCTTTCTTGAACATATCCGGCTCGTTGTTATAGTTGATTTTGAACCTCGAGAAAAGAAGCTCATGCTTATCAGCTGCGAGAGTACCCTGCATGCTGGTTAGGCTAGCTTAGTCGTGGGAGTAAGACGACTCACAGATAATAGCTGCTCGGCAGCCTTAGCGTCCATCCCAGGGGGTAGCTGGACGAGCGACCAGAACGTGGTGTTATACAAATTGTTGATGTGGCCTATTGTTTCATCAGCATCTGTGATCTGGCTGGTTGTAGAGAGAACCCTCACAGTCTACTTGGCGCCAGCTCATATAGTCTCGTAGGTTCTGTACGCTAGGGTAGCAAACAGCTCTGCCATCAAAGCTAGGAAGCGGTGGCGATAATGGCGTATCTGGAAAGTAAGTTGACCATAGGTGGATATAGTATGCAGTAAACGTCGAGACTATCGTCGAACCGATTTTGCTACACATTTTGAGTAAGATGTACTCAAACGTTGTGGCTCCCGAGTGACTTACCTCGCCCTCCTTTCAAATAGAGTACATGTCTTATGGAAGACAAAGCTGATAAAACTTAGTATCGGCCATTTATCTTTTTATAGGCGAGAGGTAATACCTGAACTCATCGCTAACGCCATAGGCAACAGTGATGTCGTGGATTTCGGTTACGACGGCTTTGGCAGCAGCGTTCATCAAGTCAAGAGCTCTACGGTCATTGGGTTTCTCGAAATTATACTTGGCACACAATCTATCTCGGAAATACACATCAGAATAGGATCGAGACAAGGATGTTTATATTTGGGAGCATTACTTTGTGAATCCTCTACCGTCTATTCTGACCACAATCCAAGTGTTCGGCAGTAGGTTGTCGATTTGCTCAAATTGTTTGACATACTCAAATCTGAGGTTAGGATTAGATTATATAAGATCTACATATTTGCCTAAAGGGAATGACTTGCCTCGAGTTGGCCATTTTGCTGGCTTTATCATAGAAAATATACTATAAATAGATGCATGTAGAGTAAATGCTTGATATTCAGATGCTAATGGATGGAAGATTGTATATAAAAGTACTTTGATACTTGTAACTAACTAGGTACATAGGTAGATTATGTATTACTGCTGAGTCATCGACGCCCACTGCCGGGATTGTCGCAGAGTGGGGAACCAGTGGGGACATTTAAGAAGTACCTGTCAAGATCCCTGCAAGCTATCTGCACGAGCTGCAAGGCTACGAAGGTACCTGCCTCTGCCACATGCTTGATGGAAGCTGAATTTGAAAAATATCGGATCAATTACAACTACAACTACAACTGCAACTTTAACTTGTAATACCTGCCTTTCGACAATTGTTTAACAGTTGTATATGCATGTCTCGACACCCAACCAGCACGTTGCAAACGAATTAGTATCCTTTCCCGAGCCGCAAGACATGAACGCGCCGATATGAATCTGCTGCTTTCCGACGACTACCTGCTCCAGGACTATCCCGAGAATATCACAAATACGATCCGGTCCGGCCATACGACATGTCTCCGCTTCAATCGCAGAGGCGACTACTTGGCCTCAGGTCGCGTCGATGGCACAGTAGTAGTTTGGGACCTCGAAACGATGGGCGTGGCGCGGAAGTTAAGAGGTCATAGAGCGGCAATAACTTCACTTAGCTGGTCCAGGTGTGGTCGGTATTTGCTATCCGCTTGTCAAGGCTGGAGGGCCGTTTTATGGGATCTTCAAGACGGCACGAGGTATCGAGAAGTGCGCTTTCGTGCACCCATTTACACGGCAGATTTGCATCCTTGGAATCAGTAAGAATTGCTCGTATTAACGATCTAATGACTAGAAGTGCTGACCACAGCGCCCATTATAGTAACCTATTCGTTGCGTCCGTATTCGACGAGGCCCCATCTATTGTTGACATGAGTGGCCCGAGCGATGTCAAACATACCCTTCCCTCTGCGCCGAAACGATCCAATGCCGATGTCGATGCAGCGACGAAGGAGAAACATGCTAAAGAAGACGCAAAACAGATGACAACTGTCACCGTGTGGACAGCTACAGGTGATCATGTCCTAGCAGGTACAAATAAAGGTCGCCTCAACATAATAGACGCGACCAGCCACGAAATCATATGGTCAGAAAAGATATGCAGTTCGGTAGTGACTACGTTACGGCTGACAGGGTCTGGCCGTGAATTATTGGTCAATTCACAGGATCGTATCATCAGAACCTTCCATGTGCCAAATCTATCAGCAGAGGATCTCGACCCCGATACGATACAGATGCCATTGGAACACAAGTTTCAGGATGTTGTCAACAGACTTTCTTGGAACCATGTCACATTCAGCGCCACCGGAGAGTACGTGGCAGCCTCTACATATAACAATCACGAATTATATATATGGGAACGAAATCATGGTAGTTTGGTACGAATGCTGGAGGGGCCTAAGGAGGAGCAAGGGGTTATTGAGTGGCACCCGCACCGAGCTGTACTAGCCGCCTGCGGACTCGAAACCGGCCGCATCTATATCTGGTCGGTGACTACGCCACAGCGCTGGTCAGCACTGGCACCGGACTTTGTCGAGGTCGAGGAGAATGTAGAGTATATAGAGAGGGAGGACGAGTTCGATATCCACCCGCAGGAGGAGATTAACAAGCGCAGGCTGGACAGGGAAGACGAGGACATCGACGTATTAACAACGGATCTAAGCAAAGGGTATCACGAGGACATCGACGGCGCAGAGTTCCGGATGCCTGTACTATTTAATCTTGGGGAGAGCGACAGCGAGGAAGAGTTCGTTGCAGTGTCGACGGGTACGGTTCGGCGAAGAAGCTTGGGCGAAGGCCACGAGGGTGAAGCGCCCGACGAAGAAAAGGTAGCTGGAGGCAAGAAAACAGCCGCGAAGGGTACAAGAGGTAGGAAGAAGTAAGATAGATAATAGTACCTTCTAACTGGGTTAGGTTAGTGGCCTCCTAATGAAACGAATCCCTTAACATTAACAAATTGCCCAGTAAAAACAATTATTTAAACACTAGACTGTTACATCGTATGTTTGTAGAACCAGTCGTTTGATGATATGTATTTACAGGTATGTCGGTGGGTTAGTGAATCGATGCCGCGCGGTGGATTGATTGATTACCTGATACCTGTTGCCCGTTGCCCGTTTAGGTCCCGTTTGCTGGGCAAGTACTTCCCTAACATACCTGCGTAGGTAAGTACCTAGGTACCTATACTGATCCTTTGTGGAATGCAAATAATAGGTAGGTACTCTCTGGCTGTTGTTTGACTCATCGGGCAGCTGCAATTTTTTTCGCCAAGGTCATACGACTAAACCTTAAATTGAATTCTTGAATACATACATGTACCTCTTTGTACCGACATGCATTGATCGACCTTAATATTTTAGAGTTTGGGTTGTCTGTGACTTTGAAGCTACACCAAACCTCCGGCGTTAATTTCAATACATTCAAGCGTTGTGTGGGGGAACCCTAGGTACATACTTGTTTCTCATCGTAGGTATCTTTTAGGGGACTTTTAGGGGACTTTTAGGTAGGTATGTACCTAAGGTACCTTGCCGATTGAGGTCTTGATCAGCCGCATGGAGAAATTTGCTTCCGAAGACCCATTGTTCCATATTTGGCTTAGCGTAGAATCGTGGCGGCTTCTGCCTCACTATTCCTTGGTCCTCTCAACTCCTTCCAAGAAAGGCTTCTCACAACCATAACAACAATCTTACGATTGACGAAACATCACGACGCGCTCCGGATACCGAATCAGTCCCCTCCCTGCGACTATCCGAAACTAACTATCGCGTCTGCATAGCGATTTTTCGATTTTCGCGATTCTTTTTCGACCTGCGCGCGCGCTGGAACGGTACTAATCGTGTTCCTCGGGCCTCTGGCCTGGTTGGAAACGGCCCTCCAGCGCCATTCTTTCTTGTATCAACTAGCACGTCTATTGTGCCTTTCGCCGCCGGTTGTAAATAATTCAGCTGCCTGGTCGGCATTATATCTCCTTCTACGAGTCACGATCCGACGGAATAATACAACTCACTACTTTTTTTTTCTTCTTTTTTTCCCACCATACTCTCATTTCGACCCAGGCCTTTGCACACCGCGCATTAACCGAAACCACTCTTTCTACGCGATCATCAAAATTTTCCATCAAATTATAAACTCAACTACTAATATTTATCAACCAACGAATCCATCAAGATGGCGAACCTTCATTTCGCGCACTCCGATGCGCCTCTCAAGGACATCAAAGAGATTCAATTCAGTCTTCTCTCCCCCGAAGAGATCAAGGGTGCGAGCGTTGCGGCAATCACTTACCCCGAGACTATGGACGAAACCCGGACGAAGCCTCGTATGAATGGTCTAAATGACCCCCGCCTTGGTTCGGTAGACCGCCAGTTCAAGTGTGCCACTTGTTTAGAGGCTATGGCCGAATGCAATGGCCATTTCGGTCACATTGAATTGGCAACAGCTGTCTACCACCCGGGTTACATCAAGAAAGTCAAGAAGATACTAGAGATCGTCTGCCCGTACTGTAGCAAGGTTCTGGACGACAGAGTCAGTATCTTCTTACTTCCTGGCTAACCTGAATCTTGTTGATGCTGACCCCACCTAGAGCAATCCAGAATTCCAGGCTGCCGTGAACATTCGAGACCCGAAAAAGCGTTTCCAGGCTATTTGGATCGTTTGCAAGGGTAAGAGAGTTTGTAGCAATGAGACTCCAAAGGACGAAGACAAGGAATATGAACCAGGTAGCAAACCAAAGACAGAGGGCCATGGTGGTTGCGGCAGCCTCCAGCCTGCGATTCGTCAAACAGCTCTCCAACTATGGTCCCACCAAAAAACGGTGAACGAAGATGGTGTCAAGGGCAACGAGAAGAAGGAGCTCAAAGCCACCGAGGTTCTCAACATCCTAAAGCGCATCACTGATGAGGATTGTCGGGATATGGGATTGAATACCGAGTATGCTCGACCCGAGAACATGCTTCTTACGGTGTTACCTGTCCCGCCACCTCCAGTCCGTCCTAGTATTTCTATGGATGGTACCGGTCAAGGCCTAAGAAACGAGGACGACTTGACCTACAAATTAGGTGATATTATCCGTGCCAACAGCAACGTCCGCCAAGCAATTCAGACGGCCGCACCTGCTCATATCCTTGAAGAATTCCAACAACTCCTCCAGTACCATGTTGCCACCATGATGGACAACGACATAGCCGGTCAGCCTCAGGCACTCCAGAAGAGCGGTCGTCCGGTCAAGTCTATTCGGGCACGCCTAAAGGGAAAAGAAGGCCGACTGCGTGGTAACTTGATGGGTAAACGTGTCGATTTTTCAGCTCGTACTGTCATCACTGGTGACGCAAATATCTCGCTCGATGAAGTTGGTGTCCCCAAGAGTATTGCACGAACGTTGACATACCCCGAGACTGTCACGCCGTACAATATTTCTCGCCTCCACAAGCTTGTCCAAAATGGACCCAACGAACACCCCGGCGCCAAGTATGTTGTCAGAACAGATGGATCCAGAATCGATCTGCGACATCACAAACGTGCTGGTCAAATCAATCTCGAGTATGGCTGGAAGGTCGAACGACATCTTCAGGATGGTGATTATATCATCTTCAATCGTCAGCCGTCCCTTCATAAGGAGTCTATGATGGGTCACAGAGTCAAAGTCATGCCTTATTCCACCTTCCGACTGAATCTATCTGTCACCTCACCTTATAACGCCGATTTCGATGGCGATGAGATGAATCTTCACGTGCCGCAGACTGAGGAAACGCGAGCTGAGATCCGCGAGCTTTGCATGGTGCCTCTGAACATTGTTTCACCCCAACGTAATGGGCCGTTGATGGGTATTGTCCAGGATACTCTGGCTGGTGTGTACAAGATGTGTCGTCGGGATGTATTCATGACGAAGGAGCAGGTCTACAATATCATGTTGTGGGTGCCCGATTGGGA